GCTCCGGAAGGACATCTGCTCTTGCCTTTGCCGACAGAGAAAGTGGGACACATTCACGGGTGATAGCAAGAGAGACTATTGCATTGTCATACGTGCCGGACACCCGGGCGACGATTAGGTATTGAACCTCTGAGGTTATAGGAGAGAAGTCAGGTGAAAAAAATCGGAAGACTGATACATTAAAACTTCGACAAAAGTATCACATTACGCTCGCGTTTTCTTGCAATCGTCGAAGATAACGTGTCTTAGGAAAGGAAGTTCCAAAGTTTAAGTATACTACGGGCTGTCAGTTGAATTGTTCTTAGTGCACCCAAAGAACATAAGTTAAAACGGCAACTAAAGCCAGCCGCAAAACTAATAGTAACCAACCACAAAGCACACTTTTTCAATTGCGGGCAGAAACTGAACCGAAACGACCCGACCGACCGCGCCGTTGAACGTGGAGGTTGTACCATTAAAGGTCATATCTCCGCGATCTTGGGAAATAGGCGACCCGGGCTGTTGGGACCGCACTAAACTTTGTGTCTTTGCGTGATGGATGGATTGCGGATTGGATCATATGTCTGGGATAAAGGGCGCCGCCTTTTTGCACATGGAACTTGCCGAATGTCACGCGCGCGCGTGTGTGTGTGTAACGCGAGATGGGAGATATCTCGTATTGTCTACGCCCTCTCGTGGCTACCTCTAGGTAATCACCTAAGGAAGTGACTCAAGCATGAGCAAAGATTGATTAGAGATACCAGAGATTACGGGCATTGAAGCCGGGATTTCATACCGCGATGTTACCATACTTCTCGGACAGCAACCAGTGCAACCGAAGTTAATGCATGTACTGGTCCCCAGAACCAGAACAAGACACAGCACACTCTTAAACCGTACCAGGTATGCGGATTACCATATCCCATCCCTCATCCCTTATCACCAGTTTGCGTTTTCAATTCGCTTCCCACTGCTCGTTAGCGTGCCGTATTGGATTGTACAACTACATACGTCAGAGCCATTCGGCGTCTGTCTGTCTCATAGCGGGGAGCGGCAGCCGAACGAGCGGCTGGAAGGTCGCATGGAAGGGTCCAGGGTTCAGGCGGGAGGGAAGAAATAGCTTCGGTTGCACAGCTTCTTCCCCTTTTCCCAGCATTGTTACACGAAAATGGGTTGCCACGTGTAATACGTACCCTTGGTCTTTTGAGTCAAGGTTAGTGATATTTTGCAACTTGCCTTGTTGGTGATACTCGCTGGTGTGGCCGCCGCCGACTGCATGTCAATGAATATCATGGCCCCGAACACCCGGGCGGCAGTTACGGCCACGGGCACAAAAACCTCCAGGAGCAGACAATTTGTTTCAAAGCATTCCAGGGCAGCATCAAATGCCAAAGTGGCATTCTTCTTTTTTGCGTCCATTTCCCACTGCAAATTCCGTCTATTTCCGTTGGGAACTTTGTTATCCCGCCGGCAGTTCAATTTCTTCTTTGCCAGAATGCCAGAAGGCCCCGAGCTCTCGGCCCGCCTAGACGCACCCAGATATTCGGATAGTCCGTCCGAGTCCGCATTTATGCCAATTTTGTGTGTGTCGCTTCCATTCCTCAATTTTGAGACACACAACATTCTTTGAATTCTAAACATAGCCAGGATCATGAACTGTTGTTCAAGTTTCCCTCCATCGATGATTTAGTTGGTGATACAATTTTTCATCGAGCGCGCCTCGGATTGACGTTGTTGAAGTTTGAACTTGTCGTCGTTGATCGATAGTCAGGTCGGGTACCTCCGCAGGGGCCACTTTTTTTGCTTCGATTTTTGACAAGCCCCCAATCCCGTCCAGCAATTGGAACACGTCCTTTTCCTTGGTGGTTGGTAATTCGTTGGTAATTCACTCGGAAAGACAGGCATCTTGCGAACATCGCTTGTCATGTTGCATTAGTTGTCTATCATTTTTGCCGTCACGAGGCTCACTTTTGGCATCCACAATCGATGGACGTGTGTATGTAAGTATGTACCAGGCAAGAATGATTGGAAATTCGATTCACCGACAGACAGCTCACTTTCCATCTTTTCTTTCCCTTGTTGCTCTTGATATCGCGAGGCTGTTGATTGGCAGCGTCACCCGATTTGTGTATCCGGTTCCCCTTACCGAACTGACGGTACTAACAAGAAGCTGGGGGTGGCAGGCCGCTACCAGAGAAAAGGGTCTTTTAAGCTTTGTGCCCTTTGTTTCCCCTTTGTTTTAGTGTGTTCTCTTTGGCACTAAACTAGCACGAACGTATGGCCACTCACTGTTCCTGACTAGCGCGACACCAATTTCTCGGGGCCGCCCGCGCTGGATCGGCTCGCTAAAAGGTATGTAGTGGTAACTTACAAGGCGTATCAGATGCGTACCTGCCACCATGAGGTACATACCTGTGTATCCCCAATTGCCGGCGGCAAGCTGAAAGTTTGTATTGTCTCGAAATACGTATCAAAAGCCACCTTTTGTGCCCAAACTCCAAAAAGCCAATCCGGAGTGGCGGTCATAAGTCGGCATTGCAGATGCCGGAAAGCCTTCTTCCTTCCAATCGCCGATGATGACCATGGATGAACTGCCTGGGCCTTTTCCAATCCTTCCGAGTTCGATGTGTTTTACCCTGTCATATGAAAGAACTTGGATCATGTACTTTTCAGTCGCGTGTGGGCATGTTGGAGGCACGCGCCAAAATGGTGACAAGATGCCCGCTAGTGAGTGGCTGCACTGGTGCCCGTCGATACTTCAATACCTACCCCAGAATATTCCTTCCTCCGTGCCAGAAAATGGGCTAGCGACAAAGCCAAACTGATGCTTTTGGCTGCCGCCTTGTCACCGGGGCTGTCTGCAACAGAAACCCGGCTGTCGGGATTGGCAACTGCAGCCCATCCCAGCCCACCGTTCCGTCGAGTCAGCCATCAGGTGAGATTGATGCTGTCCAGTCCTGGGTGAATGTGTGGCTGCCGTGCTGCCGTCATGGCTTTGTTTGCGATGCCACAGCCCCCAAGTTTTGTCTCGAAACAGCAATCCTTGGCGGCATTGAACATCCAATGTCTTGGATCAGTGCTCCGGAGAGTGGATAAGCTCTTCTTTATCGGTGCGCCAAGTCTCCGAGCAAGAGATGTGCTTGTCGCGACAAAAGAATGCATATCGCGGTCTACACGGTAACCGATTTGAGGGAGTGCTTCATAGTCAAAGCAATGCGACGATAGAAAGAAGCTGGCTGGACAGATGTTGAAACGTGGAAGCGAAAGCGAAGCGGTGTGGGCAGTTGAAGCAGGTACAACCCAACTGGTGAAGGACTTCAATGCTCAGCTGATGTCGCCGAGCGTTGAAGATTCGTCCCCTTTTGAAAGGAGGAGACACTTCAGCCCTCCAGTCAGCAGTGCATATTGAAAACATGACCGAATTCCAATGGTCATTTCTCTCCGTGTGTTCTGAAAGCATCGGCCCGGAATGTCCAGTTTGTTTTTCCGGTAGTCTTAAACAGGAAATCCGTCAACCAGTACCTTTTCGCTATGTCTACCGCTTTTACTCAGTCGTAAGAGATTTACTGTACCTGGCAGTTTTGGTGAGAAAGAAGCATATGCACGGCGGGATTAGCTGCATATGAGGAATCAGTCCAATGGGATTCCCTCATCTTCCTAGCTAGCGCCTTTAGTAAATCTCTTACGGATGAGTATTAGCGGTATTGGGTAATATACGGCCTCGAACCATTCCGTCTTGTCTTCTCCCGACAGTCGAGATAATGTTTATCAAGGACCTGTTGTCGCAACATCAGCATTGATCATGGACTTGGCCGAAAGAACCCAGGTTTGATGGAAGTAAATGTGAGTAGAGGAGCTGAGAGTAAATCATATCAAAGCTAACTCCCTTGCCCTGGATGGTGGTGGTGGAGGATGATTTCTCTTGTGGGTGTTAAGTGTGGAGGGGGCACGGGAGCATAACCAACTGAAGTTAATCGTAGCGTGATGCCGAAGAGACGAGGGTAACGCTGTGATGACAGCGGTGGGGAAGAAGAGAGGTGATGGGGTTACGATCCAATCAATCAGCCTGCACTAGCGCAGACAAAGCGGCCTTGCCCCCTTTGGTTAATTTGAGCCGGGGATTGGTGACCGTCGACCGTCGCATTGCTTGATAGGCCTTCCTTCTTCGGGGATGGCTTACTGCCTTGTGCATCTCCCATGCTTCTGTTGGGTTGCTGCTAACCAAACTGCAAGAGGCTCTGTTGATAGCTTCAACTGAACCTACCGTAGCACGTAACTACAACCGTATCCGCCTCATCCTGTTGGGGGCCGTTCAACGCTCGCGCCGTTAGCACTAGGCTTTAGCCGTATTTGTAAGACCTACGGTTAGATATTTCCCTTCCGAAACACAGAGACTAGAACGCTGAAGCTACGTGAAACCGCGCTGACGGCGACGTGGTTCAGTACAACCTCAGAGCAAAGCTGCAGCTGCGTGAATGCACGTGACGGCAGCATTGTTGAAACCTCCTTTCTGGATGCAGCTGACTCGCACGTCCCGTTCCGTCAAAACTTCCACCGGAAGGGTCTGACGAAGGGACTTGGATGCAGATGGTATTCGCGACCCTCCCTTCCATTTCTCCCCTCCCCATCATGGCGGCGCGTACGGGGAGACACGGCTGAAGGGACAATCATGAAGCGACGGCAAGTTGGCCTGATAGGGAGCGCCCGTTGCTAATCTGGACTCCACCGTGATCTCGGCTTGGGAACCCTACCGCCAAAACCAATAGATGACCGTATTCGTATGAAAGTGGTGCAGCATGCCAGTGGGCAGTTGCATTGTCATCCAGATTGTGTGGCCCCTGGAAACTATTTTGTCAGTGAAAGCCCTGTCACTGCCTGTATCCCGGAGACAATCTCGAACCCCGGTCGCTGTTATTGTGACAGAGTCTTTCTGTTCGTGCAGGTTGCCATCGACGCCATCCATCGAATGCCATTGTTGGCTGGCAAGGATGGCAAGTCGGCTCCCGGCTCTGGCTTCTGCTGTGCGTTGGTTGGCTCAAAGCGAAGAGATTTTTTTTCTCTTTCGGGCAAGTGGGCAAAAAGTTGGCGGCCACATTTCCGCGGTGAAGGCACCCAGTCCTATTCGACGGAGGCAACACAGCAGATGGCCTCGAGTGGCCTCGAGTGGTCGAGTGGCCTGGCGGGATTGCAAGGGATTGACGACGGCCAGCGAGGGCCAGCGAACGATGGTCGGTTACATAGCAGGGGTTCGCGCAAATCTGGAGACGGGACCCATGGGGCGGCCAAGGGGGCCGGGAGGTCGTTGTCGGTCGCTCGCTGGTGATCACGGTGTGCAGCGTTCGCGGTGCCGCGCCGGTGCAGCTCGGTGCAGTGCGGTACAGTGACAGCCTGACAGATTGTTAGCTCGTTGCGGTCTGCCTTCTCCAATCCCCGCCAAACGCCGTCAAACGCCGTCGACCTCGTCGTCGTTGAGGGGTATCGGCGACGAAGGCGGAGAGGTGAAGTCGGTAGCGTAGCAATGATGCTACCTTGGGATGCCACGCTGGGAAATCTTTTGCTTGACGCTACCTTCCTTCCATTTTGATCTGGCATGATCTGGTAAAGATGTCCTCTGGTAAATGGCATGTAACAATGTAACTAGATTACCTGGTATCTTACAGTTACGAAAATTCGAGGGTCGAACGGTCATATGCACTCCACTGTGTGCTCGACTAGCCTAGCTTTGTGTAAGTTACGACGCTGAGGTACAAACTGTGTGGTACAACACCCACCGTGGATCCGTCAGGTCATTAGTCTCTGGGCTTGCAGCTTGGGTTACTTGGGCTACTTGGGAATTAGTTGGCCTTGCATTTGTGCTAGGACCAGGCACCTAATTTCAACCTCAGACGATGAATGAGTTGCGGTTTTCTCGCCGACAGCATCATCGTCCACGTCTGTTCCTTATCTCTGCCGGCCATCACTGGTAGGTGGTCCCCTTCACCGCTGGCGTGACTCGGGGGTTACCTTGCGGTTCGATTTCCCCATGGAATTAATCATCGCAGGAGGTTGAGTGAAAGCTTCTTTCTCGTCACGAAAACATCATTGCCGATTTTGCCATGAGCGACCAGGCGGGGGATCGCCCGTAGGTTGCTCTTTGTTGGGACAAAGGGTCAGATTCCCATTCACACTACAACCTACTGACTATGTACCTCTTTTGGGCCCGTTCGCACTAGTTAACGCCAAAGTGCCAGCCCTGATCCATTCCACGTGAACATGTCCTTGAGCCGCAACTTTCAGCTAACTTCGTTTTAAGTTCCGTGACCGAGCGCTTCAGTTGGCCAGCTTCAAAGTTAAATTGACCTATCTCCGACAGAGAATGAAGCTGGAAGGCCTCTAGAACGGCGGGAGAAGCCCTCGCATATCTACTTGTGATCTGACCAAGTCTAGACTTGGATTTTGAGATCTCAGATCAGCTCACATCATCGCTCCTTTGCTAGCTAAGTTGCAAGTGTGCGCTCAGCCGTGTCACCACCCTCACAAGTCAGAGCGAAAGTGATAGATTTTGGGCCGTGGTCAGGATGCATTTGGATGTGATCTGCTAATCAAGGGTTCCCCCATCGACCACGTACACGTTAGCTAACGAGATCCACGAGGCCATGATAGCGGTACCATACCGATGCCGAGCCCTCTAGCTACGTGGGCGAGATATGCCGTGGCCCATCATCTACAATGAAAGCCCCTCTCACCATGACCTATTCAAGCCAATTCATTCTCCCACATTCCGCCTGTCGCTCCGAGTCTCATGGATCGCCTCTTGTTTCGTCTTTCCCCACCCCCACACGCTAACCAGTCAAGCCAGAGCCATCGTCGGGAGCTCCACAAGACGTTCCTCTCGCTGGACTCAGGCTTCCGTTTCTTGAACAACCTGGACCCCAACCTGGACCCTCTCTCTTGGGTTTTGATTACGCACCAAAACAACTTCGCTCTGCCTTCTCCTTCCTGAAGCATGTACTACTGCCCGCACAGTATCACTTCAGCCTGATTCACCCTATATCGTGACTGTTTGTGTCGGTTCCCCTATCCTATCTGTCTCGATGCTGACTGGTCGGTTGCAGGCTAGCGGTGTGATCTTGTGGTCGATAAAAGTTTGTAATTGCAACCTGAGATCGCAATGTACCTACATACGACGACAACAAAAGCAAATAATTGGAATGTTACGCCTACCGGAGTTAACGGTGAGGCCCAAAGGTGTGAAGCCATTCCTGGCTGATGGCAGGGCTTAGTTCCTGGCTCCTGATCGTCCCCTAGGGCCCCTAACTCTGCGCAGTTAACGCAGTAGCATTAGGAATCTGTAGGGTCTTCTTGTCCCCAGAGCCGCGCCGTGCCAGCAGAGTGGTTGCACTAAAGATAGCGTAGCATAGCGTTGAGCTTGAGGCTGTCGACCAAAGACTTGTCGCTCCTTGCCCAAAAAAATGCCGACACTGCCTGCTGTTCTCTTTCCATCCAGGCGTGCCAGGCACAAGGGCCTTGCTTGTTTCATCCTCTCCGCTGACTTGTTTACACTTCACACTTGTTGGCCTGTCCCCACCGGTTTGGAGATTACCCAAATGGCGAGCCTGTAACGCCGGTACGTACCGTACGCTGTAATTTTCTGACACAGATGCTCAGTAACTTGTGTCGACTGCATGATCGCTCCGCAACACTAGACCTTGTTGGACGACGCATGCATGGCATGCCCAGAGATCAAGGACGGCGCTTGCACCACAATCGGTCAAGGCTGTCCGGGCCACTGGCGCAAGCACCGCGAGACGATATCCCGTTTAGGCATTTGCGAACCAATACTACGGTGCCTGCTTGCCGCATCTGTCGACAGAAAAAAGATAATCACAGAAAAGGTGTGTCCATCAACGCGGGTCCAGTACGGCCTTTCTCAACCACTCGAAACAATAATGCTGTTAGTCACGGAGATTAAATTTGACAAAGTGGACTACAACTCCCTTTCTCACCTCGCAATACCGCAACGGAAACATAAGGTACCGGACGGGGGTGGCCCTGATTGTGTGGATGTGTTCGTTTTACAGAAGAGTTGAACCGAGAGCTAGCTCAACGGATAGGCTCTCTTTAGCCTGTCTCCTCTTTGAAGCTCCATACGCTAAGCTGCCGAGCCCGCAAGTGCGGTTTTGGGAAAGAGGCTGAGGGGAGAACAGAGGGGAGGGGGCTACGGGGAGCCAAGGAGGTCGTCGCTAGCAAAGACGGGGGTCACAAATGATAAAAAGCAGGGACTTCCCCTGTTTATCCTGTTCGGTTGACTCTTTTGCTCCATGGACCAACTCCGCTGAAACTCCGTTCACTGCGGATGCCGAGACACACGATGGGTTCCTGGAGCCTCTCCTCACCTTGAAGATGGTCAGCCGCTGACGGGTGATGGTAGCGATAGGCCGAGTTCTTCGGTCAGTGCCCGCCCAACACTGACAAAAGAACTCCACTGAGGGTCGTTACGGCAGCACTTCCTAGTCTCCGCCAAGATTGCGTGCTTGGACACGTTGGATGTGTTCATTCCAGCTCTTTCATTACTCTATGGATATGGTTGGGGGTCATTTGGGCCGCGTCCTGGTTCTCGCATCGCCGGGCCGATGACCACCGATATCATCATGGCCGCCGAGCTTCGTGTTGTGAAAATCGGACCGTAGGGATGGGACGGAATCGCGTCCGACCACGAACGACTAGCGACCCATCAAGAGTGGGAAAAAGGGGTCCTCGCTCCTCTTTCTCAACCTTCAGGGCCTCTTGTCTTGCATTGTACATCACTGGCGGCTTTCTGTCTCACGCTCTGCCCTTGGGCAGCAAGACGCGGTCACGGTCAAACACGATCCTGTGTGGGCTTTTCGAGGCTGATCGCACGCAGGGTATAGGGAGGGGGCTGGTCTAGGCTGGACTGCTACTTGCTGCTACAACAATAGCCGCTGCCTGCTGCTACAGTACTGGAGACTGCATGGTACTCTTTATGTCACTCAGTGGAATGGGATATCGGCGATGATACCTCATGGATAACATCTTTTCCGCCCCCGGGCCGGGGAGAGGGACCGGGGGCCACCTTAGACCCGCGATGGGCGAAATTTCTAGGTAGTCCACACAGAGTACCTGTACCGCTGGATGCCGCGCCTCGTTGTAAGCAGATCCTCTTGGTATGTAACCAACCCCCTCTGTGTCCTTTGGGTGTGTACTATCGAAACGCATGGACACAGGCTATCATGTACAACACAGCAACACAATATCACCTTAGCAAGTGCTCTCCAACCTCTCATCGCGGGTCGTCTCGTCGCTAGTACTCCACTCTCGCGTGGTCTCGTGGTCCTCGTGATGATAGCAATCATAGCCGTCATCCGATGGCTAACTCATCGACTGCGGTGGGTAATTACTAGGTAACCGATACCGGCGCTAGGCCGATGACGGGAAAGAGGAAACGGAGCGAAAGCCTGTGATTCCGGTTGTCAACACCAACCGCAATCATCATTGATAGCAAAAGCCGCTTCCAATTCCCGTCGGAGAGGACCTGAATGGAAACATGCTTGGCAGTTCTGTTTCAGTTAGTTCATAACCGGATGATGGAGTGGGGAGGCTGAACTTCACAGTTGCGAGATGGCTACTGCAGCTCTGCGGAAGAAGGACACTGAAACAAAGAGTATACAGCAAGGAACTAGCAGATGGCAGCAACGTTACGACAGTTGAATCGTTGCTGCTTGTTCCTCCTCCTTTATATACCGCACGCATCCGCCCAGTTTCGTCATTACAGGTGAGGTTGTGTCGATGAATAGAGTCGGGCACCAGCTACAACCTCATAGTTCGAACTGTCCTGTCGCAAGTGCCGACAGTATCAGAATACGAAATCGTGAACCTGGTGAATGGTATGTATTATTGGGCTGAGCTAAGGCGATCCCCATCGGACACATATACACACACATACGTGTCAAAACAGTGGCTGGAAAGCGAGCGGTCAGCAGACTGGATAGGTCAGACTACAGACCGCTGAACACCAACGAGCCAGCTCAGCTAACCTTCTCCGACTTGGTTATTGACGTGGAATTACCCAGAAAGGAACAACCGAACGGTGACCTCAAGTGAAATACCGAAATACTGCAGAACAAAAAGGGCGGCAGGTAGGCTCGTTTCAGGACGGTGAGTCTTCGGAGGGCGCCAGCGATGCGATATCCATTTTTCCCATTTACCCTTCGAGCGAGGTCGGGCAATTGGTGATCAGTCGGATGAGAATCGCAACTCTTGCGTATTGTTGAAGGTCCGCACCCACCGGTGAGCCCGCTGTCGGTCAGAGAACGGCCCGACCTCGGGCATACGAATCGGAATCAACTATATTGATCGGTGCTTGGCTTGGATCATCAGCCCGCCTCTGAGTAACAAGCGGACGCTTTTGGATACGCAGTACAATCATCTCCATTCTTATTTGCCGTACGTACTGTAGACTCAATTGCCGGCGTTGAGGTGGTCAGTGAAAAGTGAACGAGTCAGAGCACCGGGACTGAGGATCCTTGTTATACTCATGCCGGTCTCGAGGCTGGCTGGGCCTTTGGGGACGGAACTGTCTCCGACTACCAGGAAGCCTCCTATGATGTGCCTATGATGTGGACTGACTGGTTATGGACGAGATCGGCTTGTTGGTAGAGCTCCAGCGAGCCTGTATAGAGATATCTTAAAGAGTGTCTTGGGCTGCTCGACATATCCACATGCAACTTCTCACGAATAACTTGGTGCAAAGATGTTGTCGATATGGCAGACTCATGTGACGTGAGCTCACCTCGAAAGACAGATCAACCGATTGCTATTAGCTATCTCCCTCTTTCGCATTAAGTTGTTATAATGTGTCGCTCCGCCACTTTGTTCGCTAGGTCTCAAGAGAGGAACGATGGTGTAGCAAAGTGGCTCCGGTCTTCTACTCACTGCAGGACTAATATCAACAAATTCAGTTGGCATAACATGATGGGACAATAGACTCTGTAGTTCTGACCGTCATAAACATCTTCATCATCTCTAGATAAGGGAAGCGGTTACCTTTAACTAGTACTGTCACCTGACACCGTAAAGCAGGTAATGAACTTGAAGGCCATAGGCGTCAGTGCGGGCGGGAGACACGAACACCATTAGTACACCTTAATTATGATACTGTACTGGACTTATGCTCAATCGACACTGCATGGCCGCTTGCGATTGTGGTAGACCGAGTCTGTCTGTTGAATACCGCCGTCTTTCTGAGTGTCCTCAGTTCTGTCACTTGTAGCGCTACGTACTTACCTCTACTTAGTACAGTACTCGCTGCTTACCTAACAACCGCCGCTCTTCAACTGCCACTGCCGCTCTCGGCTCTTGTTGCACTGCACTGCAGTTTCGTCCGTCTTTATCGATTGATCGATTCTTGTCCAAGTTCATTCCTTCCTGTCATCAATCCGTGCCTTCCTCCGTTAAGTTCCCGGCACACTCTGAACCCCATCCCGCAAGCATCGTCACTTCCGGATTTGGAGTACTTAAGTTAGATCAATGGTAGTAGCAGGCCCGGGGCAAAAGTACCTAGTCCTCGCAGTATCTGTTAGTGAGCTCAAACTTTTACACAGAAAAATCGATCGCTCTACTACCCTCTCTAACAAAATCGGTGAAATGGTACATTAGGCGCTGTGAGGCGGGCGGGATCAAAACATGAACCCGCTCCGTCCTCCGACAAGTTGAACGTACGCACTGCAGGTCACAGCGATTGTCTGGACTTCCGCTCAGTTGGGGAACCTGACTGACGAAGCTGAAGGAAGAACATGAACCGTGACGCTCACTGCGGCACTTACTCAAAACAAGAAACTGAAATTGGCTCGAAAACTGTAGTGCACTGCACTGCACCTCAGGGAGTGATGATCTTCCTGGATCGAGTGAGCGCCTCGCAGTAAATGGACCGTGTCGACGATTGAATGCTCCAGTTTTCCTAACAGACCTCAACGATTTCCTTGGCCGGTGATGCTCATTTTTGACGGCGCCCGGTACTATAGAACACTTGCCCCATCCACCTTGTGCAGTCAGTGATGAGAACTGAAGTGGAAGGAGGGGAAACTTAACTCAGTTTTGATCCGCCAGGAGAGGTACTCCCTCCAAAAGCCTGTTAGAAGGGGTAGTAGAGCGATCGATTTTACCATAGTTAAGATTCGACTCACTAACAAAGGTACATCTATCGATGTCGATGGCTCGTTTACGACTTCCTCGGTTCGTCGTGAGTGTTCGTTCCGTGTACAGTGGCGATTTGTTGGGGCGGGAGTGATAGTGATGTCAACATTTGCTTGGGCGGGGCGGTGGTTGATGAGGAAGGAACACTTCGGGTGCAGTGCAAGTGCAGGTGATTGATGTACTTACTTACCTCAACTTTGGGGAGTCACGGTCAACAGGAGAGTGAGGGCAGTGAAAAGCATCCAAGTGCGTGCAGTGAACTTGAAGTGCCATCGGCGGGGACGAGACAATTGAGCAACTCAAGTACGTACTACATTCGTTAGCCGATGACTACTTCTACTGTAGCCAGCTCAACAACCCGGTGTTACACTTGTTCGCTGCTCGCTCAAAGAAGAACCAAAGCTTGTACGAACTGAGCTGAGAATTGAAGAGCTAGTGGAATGAAGCGCGGCACAAAAAGAATTCCGATACTCATGTCAAAGATGACCGACCCCCCAGAGAATGATTGCTGCTGTGTCCAACGCTGTCTGCCACTCATGTCATGCTCCATCAAACCCTCTTCAGACCCTCCCCAAACCCCCAAACCTTGACTGTCGACGGTCCGGTCATTGGGACCCATTCTCCTCCGCCTTATACGGAAACATCTCCCAGAATCCAATCTCCATCTAAATCACACATCGCATCACTTCGTTAGCTCTGCTCTCTCCTTCTCTCCATTCCATATTTCACCCAGCCACCCGAAGCGTTAAATAGGTATCACTCACCTTGGTAGCATGCACAAAAACCCCCACCAACTCCTCAATCCTCCTGGGGCTCTGCAGCACGGCATGCCGTTCCAATAGCTCGCGGCCCGCTTTGACGGCGGTGACGTAGTCGTCCGCGACGTAGTTGGCGATCCAGGACCAGTAGAGGTTCTCATCTTCGCCGGTCTTGGAGTTGGGGGAGGCGTGCAGGTGCTTGGCGATGGCGCCGTAGCCGAGGAGACATGGGGCCAGAGCCATCTGGAGAGCGAACCAATCTTCGGATTGGCCTATGTCTAGGACGTATCTGTAGAGTTGGGGGGGTTGGTGGTTAGAGGTGTTGCGGGTTGAGAAGGGCCAGGGAAGGGGGGAAACGGGATTGGAAGGTTGAGTAGCGTAGAGTATGAGAAGAAATACCTTGTATATGCCGTGCATGCTGTTACAGACGTTGATGTTAGCTGATTCTGCTATTAAGGAGAGAGATACATGAAATGCAGAAAGGAAATGGGTATTATTACCTTGAAGTTCCTCGGTCTTCTCCATCTGCTCCTTGGAGATGCCGAAACCAGCGCAGTACTGGACATGGAGATTCATCTCCCTGAAGCAGTTCGCAACAATAGCGGCCGACTGTTCCATTCCTTTTTGTTAGCCTGACTTTCATAACAAGCATGGAATCAACTATGGTAAACGTACACCAGCAACGTCTTCGATGTTCTTGGCCTTGTACGAAGCCAATGCGTTGGCACGAGCGTAATGAATCTGTACCAGGCAACGAATCAGTACCGTAGAGCTTAGAAGGTGTATAACTGGGAAAATAGATGCCAATATGACACGATCCGGCACTGCAAGACAAGCCAGAACATACGAGATAGACATAATCCTGCATCAGATATCCCTTGAAGGACTCTCTCGGCAGAGTCCCATCACCCATGGCCATAACAAACGGGTGGTGGATGTAGCGGTCCCATACTGGGGCGACGTCGGGTCGTTCGAGAAGATAATCGAGGAAGTGACCGCTGATGAAGCATTAGCAGCAAGATTCGGGTATATAGCTTTAGGGAGGCAAAGCTCACGAAGAGAATGGAAGTGCCTTGACGGAGTGAAAGTGGTTGAGGGGCCCGTTCCCTTGGCCCAATCCAGGCGCCGTCCTGATGGCGGTATCGACGTATCTGATTCCGGCCTTGACAGCCGGAACCATGTCCATCCCCTTGGCGAGGTTCGAGGCAATGGCGGCTGTGGATGACGATGATTAGTCATTCAGTCCATTATCACGAAGTCCACGATCTCTCGGGTTTTTTTATGGGGCGGGAGTAGAAGAGACTCAAACTCACAAGCCAGCGAGCAACCAGTACCATGAGTATTCCTAGACCTCTGGTACGGCATCTCGATTTTGACCACCTGTAAGTTTTCCTCGCCCTCTGCGTCTCTCTTCGTCCCCTCTGCAGCAGGTCCCACGAGGACATTGACGACGATTTCCTTCTCGTCTTCCGTCTTTGCCTCGGTACCATCCCTGCGGAAGGGAGAATGGCCGCCCTTGACGAGCACCCACTTTGACCCAAGCTTCTGTACCTCGAGGGCAATTTCCTCAAGATCGGCAACGGTTTGGACTGGGCGTTGGTCGTGGCCGGCTTCAAGTAAGAGTGTGTTTGCTTCCGGGACGTTAGGCGTTAGGATGGTAGCTAGAGGGAGGAGTTTCTCGCAGAGGGCACGGGAGGCGGAGTTCGGGAGGAGCTCGGCGCCCGTGGTCGCGATCATTACCTACGTGACTGTGTAAGTATATACAGGTACTGTAGTAAGTAGTGGGCGATAGGATGTTACAAGATTGCTCTTTCAAGCATGGTGGTGGGTGGAGAATCGAGTAGAGGATGGTGCACTGTGCACTTTGGAGACCAAAAAGGGGCAAGACAATGTAAACAAATAAACAAACGAAACGGCTAAACATTAGAAACGTACCGGGTCAATAACCAGCGTCTTGAGCTTGTGGTCATGAATCGCCTGAGCAACAGCCTCGATAGTGCCAGTCGAAGCAAGCATGCCTTGATACCAATGAAGTTATTAGTGATCATTTACGTTTCATGCTTTTAAAAAAGACGACCTCACCAGTCTTGACAACGTCAACACCGACATCTTCCACCACAGCATCAATCTGCTTCCTTAGGAAGTCCACCGGAACCTCGTGAATGCCGTACACCCCCTTGGTATTCTGGGCCGTCAATGCGGTGGTGGCCGTCATAGCATAGCATCCATGGGCGGCAATGACCTTTTGGTCCGCTTCGAGACCTCTGCTTCGTGTCAGATCGCTTTTCCAAGTCCAAGGAAATGGGGGCAACAAGAATATGGAGATCGGAGAAAACATGGGCGTAAATCAAATGATATTGGAGATAACAGAAACAACTAAGGTTACTAACGCTCCGCCCGAACTGTCCGACCCTGCTATGACCAATACTCTGGGTAGTGTACTACCACTGTCGTTGGAAGCACTCATCTTGAGGAAGCCGATTACCCTTGGTGGGCTTAGGATGATAGAGAGGATAGGTATGAATCACACCAAGAAGGACAGGGTAAGGTGATAAAGAATGAAGAGGGCAGGCTGGAGGTGGTTATGTTAGTGGAAAAGATGACGAGTGGGAGTTCTGGGAGGCGTGCCTGTCAGCAAGGTTCTCTCGTCAAGGGCGGGTATCATGCCATCGATAACCGAACGCAACTGCTCGAATACGAAAGTCACTCAAAGCTCTTCGTCACTTGCAGTGCTTTCAAGGAGTGGGGTGTTACAGTGGGGTTCTTCCCTTGTTACACTAACATTTCCTTCCTGAAACTCGTCCGTCATGACTCCTCCATCCATCATCTCAACATTGAGAACGATATGCTGACCAACTGAAGACTGCCCGCGATCATCAAACTATGTTTTCAAGCAATCATCGTTCTTATACATCCTCCTACACCCAACTTCAACAATCTTCACGTCTCGAAGTGTAAGAAAAAAGATATAGAACACGGTAAGGGAGTCATATCCAAGATAAATGGGATGTCACCAGGATGGTATTTATGAAAGAGCAACAAGCCAATATTTTCAAGGCCAACATATTAGGATTTATTTGTTCCTCGGTACCCAACGCCTTCACCTTATATGTCCAAACATGCCATGCAAAGATAGAAAAAAACAACAGTCTGATATGCAAAAGGGGTATTGCGATACAAAGCATAGAGGGCACAGCCTCTCATGCGAGAAGTACAGGTCTGTCGACAAAGCCCCAGACGAGATACTCGAATGAGGACTTAACTTCGGAAGTAAATCCCGAAGAACAGAACAAGAAAAGAAGAGGACAACATCGTAACTTCATGCATCAGTCCGTCGTTATCGGTCTGGGGGTATAATTGGTGAGCGTAGCAAAACCGAAATGGCGAACTGGTTCTAAATCTCCTGAACCCAGACCTATTGATGTTGTTAGTACGAACAGTGCAGCAGGACAATTGACAAGCGGCAAAACTTACCTCCATCTTCCCAGTCTCCAATTTTTGTTTCCTTGCATTTTGCTTGACAGTTTCAATGAGCATGTCAAGATCGTCTTGATCGCCCACCGTGATCATGTCACCATCTGGCGAGTCGTCATCCTTGATTTTGATCTTGATGCGGCGGCGAATCCCAAACTTGCTCCTGATCTTCTCCTCAAAGTCGGGGAACTCAATGGCAGTTCCGACCATGATGTAGCGAACATCGCCAGCATGGACCTTAACACGGATGCTGCGAAGTTCAGGCCGCCTAGAAGAACCGCGTGTTCCGGAGCTTCGAACCGTGTTGTAACTTGGCCTACGACCAGACACCATCTCAAATTCGCCCTCATCGAAGGAAACGTCATAGTCGCTCTCTTCGTCCTCTTCCTGGATGTATCGAGGGGCGCCTCGGTCGCTCCTCTGTCCGCGGCTGTTTCGGTTGGGACCGGGGCCGCCGTACATATCGTATAGTTCGGCCGGGTAACTGTCCTCCTCTTGCTCTTGAGTCCGTCTCATTCTTGACGGCGGTGGCTGCTCACGTTGGGAGAAACCTCGGGATGGGGTGGCCGATGCTGCGCGAGAAGGCCGCCTAGAGGGCTCTTCCGGAGACGTCTTTTCGTAGCGATCGCTCGGTCGGACCTTATCGAGGTTGAGCTTAGCCGGCATGGGTTTGGGTCCGTTTCGGACAGAAGCACCGCGGCTCATCTGTGACTTTTCATTCTCGGGCGGCGGTGTCGGCGGGAACATGCTGCGGTTGGTCGGGGGCTCCGACTGTTGCCTTCTGCTCTGTAGCCCAGGCTTGACGAGGTTGGTAGCGGCGAAAGATAGCGACTCGACTGGCCTATCATCCTTGACCTCAAGTTTCCCAGCCTAGTTCCCTGGTGTCAGCAACTGCAAAAGAGGGGAACGGAAAACGAGAGAGACTAACATTCTTGATTTCAGCACCAGTAAAGCCAGTGAAAGCATTGTTCGCATCTGAGGTTGCGACTAGGCGGGCTTTCCCAAGGTAGTCTTTGGTCTTTAGGTTTCGCACTTTCGCTTCGTTTGGTCGGTAGACGACGCCCACTGGGATAGAAAAAACGGTGTAGCCCTAAGCACTTGTCAGCAATAGTCCAATTTTGAGATCCGCGATGCGCTTACCTCTGCGTTCTCCTTGATTGCTTCATCGATGACATTATGGTCCTCAACCACCTTCTCCTTGGCCGCATACGACAAATCCTGCATACCAGCTTCGGTTTGTTGAAGGTAGATGTAGCAAAGACCACGATTGAAAAGGACTTCGCATGAGTAGAGCTTGAAGAGAAGGCCCAGCTGCGCGTAGTCAATGACTTGGTTGCCTCGAAGATATAGGAGTGTATCGTTGAAATTGGCCAATGCCTCTTCGAAATCGCCAAGCAAGAAGTTGGAAACACCCTGTTGGAAGTATGCGACAGCTAGGTACTGATCAAGCCGGATCGCTCGTTGATAGCACTCGACCTGATTGAAGAGTACAAGTAAGCTTAGGTCCGTGTAACAAGAAAGAGTATGTTCCGCGACTTACAGCTTGCTCGTGTTGACCCAGTGTCGCATGAATAACGCCCATGTTGAAGAGGATCTTGGAAGTGTCGGCAATCTTTTCGAAATCCTGCAATGCAGCATCGAACTCGCTATTGTCATACTGCGCCAGGGCAGAGACCCAAGTCTCTATTTCCTATAGCCATCATGACGCGTGAGCTTTGTGAACCAGATCGGATGGAAGGAGGCGATATGGGACGAAAAGGTGTACTGACCATTTTTAGCGACATGTTGAGGTGTTGTTAGACGTGCGTGATGTCGGGTTGACGCCGGGCTCGGAGCAGCGGGAGATGCGAAAACAGAGAAAGGAACACCTGGAAGCCCTTCTGGGAAACAAGTCGCGAGAATCTTAAACTTTTGGCCCACGCGGACCCGAAGCAATGGAGAAATAGGAGGTGGTGTATCGGGACGACTCAAGAGTAATAGCGAAACATGCAGAGGGGTTGAGCGTGGCCAGGCCTGTTGTCTTGTATAAGTGGGCGGATTGGGCAGGCCACTGTATGGGACCTGGGGGACCAGTAGCGAGGGGGAGCAGGGTGGCAGCAAGGGCGGCAACAGGGGTGCTCGCTCTTGGCTGGTCGAGTCAGCGGCAGGATGGCACCGCTTCGACCGCTCCGCACACTGTAAATTTTTTTTGCACCGCTAGCAGCTCTCTTCACAGGTCTGGCTGTGCTTGTCTTGTTGGGCTGGTCGGCCTGGGCAGAAACGGCGAGATCCCCGCGCCTCGTTCGTGGGCCCAAAAGCTCCCCTACAACTTCTCAGTGGAGTCCGATGCTCCGTTCGTGGGACCCGTAGGAACGTGGGACGGACGATGGCCGCTATAAATGATGATGTTGCTGAATTAGCGGCAGCTTGGCATGTGACGGCCTGTGATCTGACTTTTTCGATTCTCGCACAATGGTATTGTCCGTCTTTGGTCTTTGCTGTTGGACCCCACGACGCAGGTCCAGGTGATGATGTTCAGGTACCAGCGGGTAGAGGCCGGCGGGAGCAATATCGAATTGCAGGATGCAGATGATGACAGCAGGAAAGGTAACCTGTACTCTGTAGTCTCTGGACCCTGATCTAGTGGTATGTAACTGGGGTACCAATTGATGATCCAGCAATACCAATCCAGATAGATACCGGCTTATACGGATGCAGTCAACGAAGATCAAAACCAGCCAACAGGCGCCCGGTCCAGCTGCTCGGAAATTGTCCTTGAGATCGCGGGGGAGGATTGGGATCAGCCCGAAGAGTGAATGTCTCTGATCGACTCAAAGGCAGGCGGCTATCAGTTGCCAATTAGGAATAGTGTAAGTGTAGGAGGAATGGATGCAAGTTGCTGGCTGTATGGTCTGGTATAACAGAAAGGACAGGCTTTTGGCGGTCGATCGTGACCGGAACAATGGAAATGAGAGAATATCGTCCAGTGACGAAGAAAAGAGGCCGCGTAGCCAAGGTATCTTGCGAATCGGCAGAGGGAATTGTTGGTGTTTGTGGTGGAGAAGAGCGAGGGTGATGAGATCGGAGCGTCGAGATATCAAAGCCGTCAGTGGACATGTGGACAGCTGTGGGGGCGTGTCTGGGGTGAGTTTGGGCGATCATGGGTGAGTGGACCGCGCTTGCCGGGTTGCCAAAACACTGATGACGCTAGGGCAAGAGCCTCTGAGCCTTTGTGGTCCATGCTCACAGGGGCAACCCGGCCAGGTCAGGACAACTGGAAGACACCTAACTGCAACTCTGCACAAATTTCAATGTTGCAACTGAATCTCCGGCCTGGGACTCTTTCACCATGACGATGATATAGGAACCGAGATCAAAAGGGAGCGTAAACGAGGAGACAAAGTTTAGAGACACGGACGGAACCCAAGAGGCCAATGTTGCAAAGGGATTGAGCATGGATGGCCCGTTGATGCAAAGTATCTTGTTGGTGTCAGAGACATGCAAAAGTGACACTTCCAGGGGCTTCCGAGTTTGAACCTCTCTCCATCTTCACTCGGCCTCTTGTCTACCGAAACGAGGGCTCTCCTGGCTTCTCTTATGTTGCCGAGCATTGGCAGTGGCAGTATCGTGAATGTGGTGTCAAGGAAACAAATTGCACGTTTAAATGGCTCTACCATCGAATGTTTTCCAAGACTGGGTCGGCCCACCACCATGATAAGCTTCCGGTTCTCGTCACATGTATGCCTATGAAAGGCGCGGGAAAACAATGGCATTCTATATGGCCGGGACAGAGACGGAGTTAATGGGACCACTGCTCAGACTTCAGAGAACTCGGACGTCAAGAAGGGAACAGGCTGATGTGATGAGATTGCCTGCTGCGGCATCTACGGTAGTAGTCCCAGGTCAAGAATAGGTAGTGCACACGTGTAGAGCTTGCAGGGTAGCATGAGTTCTTCCAGCAGTTTCCCAAACCGTTAAACTTTCTATGTCTTGGCTCAGATCGTTTTCCACTCTGGGAGGTGAGCCGGTTCATGGTCCATGTCTTTCTCTTATTTCCGCTTTTCGAACAGTTGTGTGCATGAATTTCAAAGAGTGAGACTTTGAGTTGACAGCTCGGAGGAGGGGTGGAAGGGGTTCGTTTCGGTTGCAATGCGGTCGGTGGACGGACGTGCACCACTGTCACAGAACCGTTGAACCCTTGCGAATCACGACCCACCTCGCTCATGCAAGATGGAATCCACGACCATCCCACCCACTGATTGGTTCAATCGAAACTTAGATCGGTCTTGGCAACTGGTTCCTGGCGCGTATTTCCAACTTCGTCCCTTCCCGTTCAGACGGAATTCGGGACTTCGCACTTTCAACCTTTTCTCGACCCTCATCGTCATCGTGGCTGCCGGATTACTACACACAGCTTGAAGCTATTCCACTGATACCACGTGGACGATCATACCGTATCTCTTGCGGGGAATTCATCTCTCAACACCAAGAAGCTTATCCCAGTCTTTCATCATGGTCTCGGACTTGTCCCGAGGCACAGATAGCCAGGCCGTTTCCCATGGCCTTCAGGAGCAATGCGAGCATCTCGAAGCTTCCCATCACCAAATTCTGGGAACATGCCTCTTGGGTGCTATCTAAGCGCCATCACTTTTCACCGAAACGAACCGTCTCAACCCACTCACCACCAGCGAGTCGAGATATTGGTTCAATGCATTGCCAACGTTCTGTGACAGTGACAGTGACTATGTCTGGACTCTGCAGACACGGCAACAACAATGATAGAGGTCCCTCAGCTGGATGTGTGTCAAGCTTCTCATATGATGGTCTATAGTTGCTAATCTCACAACCATCAAGATGACACACGAACACTGGACCATGCCGGCTAGAGTCGTTCGTCTTGTCAAACACAAGGTGAGCGGAGACAAGAACAAAACGGGTTGAGCCCAAAATAAGATGCTGGATCATTCCACTGCCTCGGATTCGGGCTGAATATGGTAACTCACTCCCTATCACAGGACTAGCACTCGAGATGAATGGGCCATAGGGTGAGACCGCCAGTCAACCCTACCAATTATCAGGCATCACAGCCGACTTCTCTCTCGAACACTGCCTGTGTATCTTCTCCAATCTTCCCTCTCCCGTCAGTTCAACCTGTTGATCTTTACTTCAGTTCCCTGCTCAACCAGGTCTCTTCTGTGACCTCAAACAGCCCCGGCGCTTATACCTGTTCATAAGGCTGTCTTAGCTGCATTCGCAAATTCTTGAATGCCGACAACGGCGCCGCAACGGCGCAGCAAGCGTGGAATGTCAAAAGAATCTTCGGGCACCGCGATGTTACCAAAGAAAAGACATGGTTCGGCACCTTGCGGGCATCGATCGACCGTCCAGCCGGGCCTTCAACGGGCCAGACCTAACTCAGGTAGGCAAGGGGTAAAGGCTGGCGCTGTTCTCCTGCATGCTCAAGCTGTTTCGCACTGGGACCCTAAAGAATCCCATCGCGTAGCTCGGAAATTCGGAATATCAAAATGACGAGCTGCAAATCCGGGGATACCTAACCCCGGGGCTGTCCAACATGATAACCTGCGGGGGGCAGCTTGGAAGTCATTGACCAGCTTGACTAAAAATCCGTCAACAGGGTATATACAGACTAGCGCTGGACACTCTGATTGCCTTTTACGTCTTGTGTTCAACACCCATATGCATCCGGAGAAGACATTCTAGAGGTTGAATTTGGCATAACACCAGACCAAGTTACTTGTCTCACCGCCCGGATTTTGGTCACTGATGACACTCGTTCCGTTCTCCTTCCGGTTTGTGATGCGTGGGGTCATTTTCCCACAAGACAAAGTTGCCATCGACGAGTGTTTCTCCTGCCTCTACCCGCATGACTGTAACACAAGGAAACACCAAGACTTCTACACTAGTACTTCTCTACCCGTCAAGAACGCCTAAGAAAAACCAAAACACCCTGATCCTTCCTTTTCATCCCTTTCAAGATTCAAAAGAACCCGAAAGCTTGATGGGATTTATAACACAGATGCGATTTAGCCAACCATCCCCCACTGCGAATCCCACAATCCTACGGTTTTTTTTTGGTTGTATACTACGTTGTTGTCCATCAAGGTGGTAAAGCCACCGAGCAGACAACCACTTCCGTGTCTCGGGCCGGTTACACACAAAACCCATTGTTTCACTAACACGCTCCTTTAATGGGTGTCAAGCAAAGACACTCGACTTATTATGCCGAAAGAGATGTAACATGTTGGTTTAGACTTGTGTCCTGTGAAAATTGTCTAATGTTTGAATACGACGAAGTTTGTGTGATAGACTTGGTCGCCGAATCACATTCATCCATTTGTAATTGATACCTAGTTTGAAATCTGTGATGGGAGTTAACCCTCAGTTTGAACCGAACTGCTTCGTCATAATTGCTTTCACACATTGGCAGCTACCTCTATTGGACGCTGTACCATCCATTTGAACGCCATGAAATATTCATTTCACATCATATCCTACAAGTTGCCTGCCCGCGCGTGCTAACTCGATCTTTCTTAGGACCGTTATACATGTTCCAAATTTTTACACCTTTCCACCTCTTCCCGCCACCCATCCATCCATCACCCATATTGTACATCTAGCAAAAATGACCTCATCACATCATACAGACCTCATGGTAGGTAATCACAACATCCCCTTCTTAACCTCATCCTTCCTCTCCTCCCACAGCGTCTTCCCCGTGCACGAGCACACCGTCTTATCATTATCCCACACGCCCGCGCTCCTCGCAATCACGCCCACCACCGTATTCTCATCATTCTCCAACGCACTTCCCTTGCTCTCATCCACCGACACCGGCGCGACAGCAAGCGCATGCCCAATCAACTCCCAGATCTGGAACGGGTGGCTAAGGAACACGCTCCCGTGTCCGTCCTTGTTGACCTCCACCGTTCCGAGCACGCCGCGCGGGGCGTTGGGATCAGAAACCTGCGCCTTGGTGTCGGCAGTCAGCGTAGCAGCGCCGGACCACACCGGGCCGGCCGACTCGACGCCCCGCGCGAGGTCGCCGAACTCACGAATCGTAGCGCGGTAGGTACCCGGCGCGATGCCGCGCAGCGTGAGGTCGACGAGCGTAGTCGAGTTGTTTACCTGGACCATGCGGGCCAGGCCGCGGACCATGCGGTCGGAGGCGCCTGGGGCGGGCACGAACTTGTCTAGGGTGGGTTTGTGGTAGGTCTCGAGGATGCTGACGGCGGCGCCGTGGGAGCCGCCGGAACCGCGCAGGATGGCGTCACGGCCCGTGGACTGGATGGTGTCAACGATGGCGGAGGGCGCGGCCGTGCCTTCTATCGTGAGCAGCTGGTCTTGAAGGTTGGCTTCTACTTTGGTGATTCCGGGAAGCTTGTAGAGGGCGCTTGAGACGTCGTTAACGCAGCTTTCGCAGTGCATGGGCACCGCGAAGAGGGTCTGTGAAACGGGTTAGTATGACATGTCTCTGGAGGTTGAGTAAGGTGAGTGAGATATGTGAGACAGGCTTGGACCCTTTCATTTAAAGTAAAGGTTTTGGGCCAAGACTCAAGGAGGCATGTCTCATGATGAGGGTAGTGGAAGGGAATAAACAAACCTGAAAAGGGGTTGTGATGGAAGCCATGTTGCCTGCTATCTTCGGGGTTGATGATTTGGGAGCAGCCGGGGATGACTGTGACTGGAAATAATTCCTTTTTTGTTGACGTTGTTGCCAAAGGTACGCGCCTCCAAAACCTGCTAAAGCTAGACTAGAGATACTTATAATATGTCTGGCAGTGTAAGGTGGCATCGGTTTTCAAGCACTAAGAGGAAGCGACGGCAATATGAGGACAGTATAGATGTGGTGGTGAGACGATGGATTTGTATAGAAGGCGATGGAGGAGAGCCCCACGTTCGGCAAAGGAGGGGATGACAAGAGTACAACAACGTTTTGACTCCGATCTACGGATCCCTAAAAGCCGGGGTAAATGCGACTCTTCTGGTGAGATTCCTCACTGTTTTCTTGACAAGTGCTGGGAGTCACCTCACTGGAGTGCGAAATGTCGTTTTCCCATGATCACTGAAGACGGCAGGGAGGAGATGTCGGCCTGCCAGAATGTTGATTTCAAAGCGACGGCATCTTCCCGCTCCCGGGACCACTTTTTGCGGGCGGCCAACTGGAGCTCCGCTGCGTCCGGTTCCTCGGTCGCGGATTGCCTAAATCGACTGTGTGCGATTCTAATCCGACTGTGTCCCCAAGTTAACGACGAAGTTAGGGTTAGTTCTGGGGGTGTAAGGGGCCGGTGAGAGGCCCGCGCGTGAGAATGAGAATTGAATGCTTCGAAAAAGGCGGTTTTGAGCCTTCGTTGTCGTGGTTCAAAATGATGACTTTTGGCGAGGATTTGGTGATGATTGCGGGCAGCGCGAAGTTGATGCCAAGCTTGGAGTCTTGGTTGTCAGGAGCCTATCTTGGCAACGAGTTTGTATGGCCCCACACAGTCGCCTAAGAATGGTACACAGTCGATTTAGGCGTCCCTGAAAGTGTGTGATACCGGGGAAGGAAGTGCAGGCATTGGCACACTGGAACATCAGTGAAAGAGAGCTCCAAGTGCGCCGGGTTGGTATTTGTTAGTGCTTTCTCCAATTGCACACCGAGACTTGCGGACCACCGTAGCCACCCCGCCAACTGCCAACGGGCCGTCATACCCCAATCGCAAGTGGAAATTTTCCAGCAAGAAAAGTGATCGCAGCTTTGGGCTTGGCAGGCTCTGTGCCCTTCTGGAGGAGCTCCATTCTGCTTCCCGTGATACCGGACCACATTTGATACCCGTTCGCCGCGACAGCCCCGGACTTCCTCGCGCCTGCCGAACCCGCCGTCTCGAACACTCCGGAGCCCGCCCGATCCCGTGTCATTCAATTGACCCGGACGACAACACATAGAGGTTTTCTTACCACCAGTCGATGAGGGACTCGTTCCCAGTGGTTCTCATACCTGCCTTATCCACCTAATCCTCTCTTAAACCACCATATACGCCTACATCACCAACCTCGCAATACCGTCAAGATGTCGCAAACAGTCGGAGCTGTAAGTTTTCCCTGTCTGGACATAACTGTCCCATTCTGTTCTTGTCTTGTCACCTTAACACTTACTGCTTTCCCTCACATCGTCACCACCATGACTAACCACCCGTCTTGCGACAGACCCGACTAGCCTACTCCCGTGTCTGGCACCACATCTCCGCCGTCACGCCTCACCCCACCCTCTCGACCATCAAGGCCCCTCCTGAGGCCATCACTCCCCCTTCTCTCGGTCGCATGGCCTCGCGCATCGCCACCATCCTGATGGGCAAGCACAAGCCGATCTGGGATCCCTCCACCGACTGCGGCGACTACGTAGTCGTGACCAACTGCGCGGCCCTGTACACGACGGGCCACAAGAAGTGGCGCAAGACGTACTACCGCCACAACACCCGCCCGGGTTCGCTGCAGGCCATCACCATGGACGCGCTGATGGAGAAGCACGGCGGCGCCGAGGTGCTGCGCAAGGCCGTCAGCGGCATGCTGCCCAAGAACAGGCTGCGCGACAAGAGACTGGCGAGGCTGAAGGCGTTTGAGGGCGATGCGCACCCGTACAAGGATAACTTGGTGCGGTTTGGCGGCAAGGTCGTGGGCGCTCCGGGATGGGAGGAGGCTGTTAAGGCTATCAGGGAGGCGGACGGAGAGAGGATATGAAGAACCCATGAGGTGGGGTTGTGCAAGGTGTGAGGGGTTTGAAGGCACTGGGGTTGGCTATCTACTCATGGAGGAGTGTCAGAGGAACGGGAGAGAAAGAGATGTAGGGACGAATCTACATCGAGCCGTTACGAACCGTCTCGTCGTCGGGGACTGAGGACTCCGTCAACTGTGAGGAAGATCATGTGGACAACGGCCTGGTTGGAGCGAGATATCTCCTTCGGTGTTGTTGCTTCGGCTGAAGGCTACTCGGGTTGTGCTATTCACGGGCCATGCCGCCAGTGTCAGTCTGTATATTACATGGGAAGCCGGTCCGTGAGCCCAGCGCGCAACGGACCAAGTACGAACTTGGGTTAGAAAAGAGGGCCTCTCATTGTACAAATACATCACTCAACAAGATACCATGATCACGACTCATGAGCGCAGTCTGCATCCATTCAATATTTATGGTGTGAGGCACAGGGCAAAGAACAGATCCCTATATCCATCCACTTGAAGGCTCAGGAAGCTCAAAAGCCAGGTTCATCCAAATGACAACGTACATTCACGTGGTGTTCCGATAATTCAGCTAGCAGTGCTGCTCAGATGCTTGCTTGTTCATAAGTGGAAGTTTATTTGGTTACCCCTGAAAATCAACGCCAGTCAAGATGTACATAGCCTTTCATGATGATCCGTTGTACAAAGGTATCAACAACATCTTCCCACCTTTAAAACGTACGCCTGCCCGCCAACCAACCCCTCGCAACGTGAGGGGGAATGCAAGAAAATGGTGATATCATAAAAGAAAAAAAGAAAAAACGTGTGACTTGATCAAAAACAAGGGTTCAACAGCCTACGAGCGAGACACCTCGCACTTGATGAGACCGTTGGGACCAGACTGGGGAGCAAACACCTCGGCGTCCTTGCCGGTGTTCTGGAGGCCCTTGTGCCAGCTGAGGTCTGTTTGTCGGGTGTTAGTTGTCTGTCTATCTGACCTTTTTAAGGAAACGACAGCGGGGTTTGCAAAAGTAGTACTCACCAACTTCAAAGTAGTGCTTGTTGGGCAGCGAATAGTTGGTCTTCTCCGTCTCGGGCACCGCATCCAAGATCTGCTCGCACATCTTGTACATGGTGTTCTGCACCGACGCCGACTCGTCCTCCGCAAACGTCTTGAGCGTGATGTTGCGGGCAGCCTCCCACGCAGCGTCGAAGCGCTCAACACCCTCCTGAACGGCCGCCAGGTTGGCGAACTTCTTCCAGGTCCAGCCGGCGTCCACGTCGGTAGAAAGAATGCGGTCCCACGTCTCCTTGAGGGTGGTGAACTCGTCACGGACAAAGCCGTGGAAGGCGGAGCCGGTGCTCTTGAGCACCTGGAGGCCGACGATGCCGCTCTTGATGGCGACGCCGTCCCGAGTGACGGTGGCCTCGACGTTGCGGGTCTCCTGGCCGTCGCGCAGGTAGCTGTGGGGGTGGGGCTGGCCGTCGATGACCATGCGCGTCCAGCGGTGGACGGTCACGTCGATGTGGGCGGCGCTGATGTGGGCGTACTTGTCGAGGAAGTGCTGGCCCAGGATGCTGGCGTACAGCTCGGGAGGGTTGACGGGGTGCTCCTTGGCCTTGATGTAGATGGTGTTCTTGATGGAGTCGGTAGCGACAATAACGCTGTTATCGGCCTGGGTGTACGACGTCTCGATCTCGCCCTCGAGAAGGCAGCAGACGGTCATCTCGGTGACCGACTGCTGGCCGGTCTTCTCATCCTTGTGGACCTTGTAGACGCGGACATTGTCCTTGCCATAGCGGGCAGCAGAAAGGCGAGCCATCGTGTCGTTGACCGTGGTGGTTTTGGGCCGATGTGGAAGCATATAGAGAGGGGTTCTCGGCTCGGAGTTGAGGAGAACGGTGCGGGGGATTATGAGATCCGGGAATAGAGAGGAAGATGCGTTGAATATGCAATGGCGTCAAGCTGTGAGAGGGACTTGGGGCAAGCAAGTCCGGCAAGCAAACCTAAGTTAAGCTTACGCAGTGATGTGGATATCGTCTGTAGCTGAAGAGTAGCTGAAAGATAGAGAAATGGAGCAAAGAACAAAGAGAGATCTTCACTTGAGACCGAGTCGGGGACAAACAGTTTTATATCAACTTGGAAGCTTCGTCTGTCTGAAAGTGTCATGGCAGACAGGCGACATCCCCCTTCCCACCACCTCCTCGGCTACCTACCTCATCGGCCCCCTTGACCGAGCGTTCCATGTGGTAACGCAGCTTGGTAACTGTGAATAACGTCCGATAACGAAATGGGCACAAGGACGATCGGAATGCGCCTTGGAGCGCAGCTATTCACCAGGCCAGTGGCGCGCGGGTGCGCGGCCTTCCGCCCCGTGCCCATGTCCGGGAAGACAAGACGTTCCCGCGGCGGTTCCAGATGTGGCCCAGATGTGTTGGTTTGACGGCAGGGAACGGTTGGCTTGCCCTCCAGTTTGTGGGGAAAATCAAGTAACGTCGAGCTCCTCAGATGGGGTGGACCCTCCGGAGTCCGCCGAATGCCACGGGATTTCCATCCCAGAAGGCTGACGGCCGCTACAAGCCTACGGCCCCAGGGGCACTTAAGAATTGCTACCTCTAGACTTTTACACTTCTTCTCCGGTCTTGCCGTGTCACCAACTCCTCTTCCAACCATCGACATATGAGATTACGTACTTTTGCTCGCACCCGGATCTAACAGGCACACCCGTGGAGAGTGTTTGAATGTCGTTCAACAACGTTTGCATGCTGTTCCCGTCAACCCGTTAACAAGAGGGGTTGCACGGCGTTGAAAGGCTGCGGGGTCGGACCGCCGCAACGCCACAGACGGAGACTCGATTGGCATCGTACTACGGCATGGCCCGAGCGCCATGTTTCCTGTCGCTGTCAGCAACATCTCCGTATCAATCAGCATATTGATGGCTCTTATGAGAGCTTCTTATTACTTACATGTCTATGACCTGCTCTTTTGGATGTGATACTCTTTGTCAGTCCTCTGCCAAAATATGGGATCATCTTCAATGGTTGAAAGCCATTTGGTAGTAGATGCTGATCAACAAAGCCATATCTAGGCCATGGAGTTGGTTTCACCAAAGGGTTACTCTGTCTCAGGTAACTAGAACCAATGGTTGAGTTATCCTCCAACGGAAGGTTGGAATATCAAGTCACAGTTTGAGTTCTTGCTCGTATCAAATTTGGATCAGCTACCAAGAATCGACTGTAACTTCACTATACCGTCCATCATTTACCCTTGGATGAAATCTTCACCTTCCTATATATTGACCAGAGCCCTTCTCTCTTAACCTTTCAATCTCCATAACCCGTTCTTAGACGTCAGATTTTTGTTTGTTCATAGAGTGGATGGACGCAGCTTGTGCACTTTTACCTCCCCGTGATTTATCTTCTCTTTCAGGAGAAGGGATCCTCATCGGAAGGGGCAAATGCACACATAACCCTGAGACCATCTAATCGAAGAACAGCAATGCTTTGGACGTCCAGACACCAGAGCCAAAACATAGGACGAGGTGTGGGCAAGGATGCGGAGAATCCTGGCAAGAGATGGCCAATATATATAAGAGTTTGTCCAGCAAGCTGGAATGGAAGGTTTCAATGTAGAAAAAGAACAAAGAGGAAGCCAAGGTGTAAATACCCCTTTTGGGTTGACAGGTCTAGCCGGCCGGGGCCTGTCAGGGTTATAGGCGTGGAAACTGGGCTGAGTGGGGGCTCAATTTTTAGAGTGGGATCCATCGCGAAGGTCCAGTGCACCGACCAGGGAGGGCACCTTCCATTGCCCTGACCGAACATCCAGGACATTGCAATGACGGCGGTGCCCCCGTTGTGATTTGTGTGTCCAGTGTGTACAGCGAGGATACAACAGGATTACAGTATCATATCCCGAAAGGTACCTCTACCTTTTAGCTACTGGCGACAACAGCCATCATACAACCCAACCCCTCGACAGCAACGAACAGTTTAGGACGACGCCAGCACATCCCGACGACGGGAGGCGCATGCGACCCCGCTCATCTATCGCATCCCTCTAGTACCTTTTAACGTTCAGTTGGCAACTTGGGAGTAGCAACACCTGCAATTGTCCGCCAGCATGAGAGACGCGGAATAGCAAACCGATAGCCCAACGTAACCCGCGGAGACCGAGACAAGAAGACCTCATCTGACTACGAGAGCGACAAGACGAAACACCAGCCTCTCCGGCCGGCGCCTAGGTGGTAACCAGACCACAACTCCCGTCCCCCTCGAGACCGCCGCCGGGAATCGATGCGCAACAGGACACACAGGGCTCACCCTCGACTGGCGAATCCGAGTCTGAATCCGAATCGAATGCCTGTGACGATAGCGAGCCCGGAAGCGGAAGCGTCCTGCGTGGAGGACAAATGGCTGGGCCATCCACCATGTTGAGCGCATCAGCAAACCCCCAGAACGCCAGATCCTACTCGTCGCAACAGCCCGGAACCTCGCAGACGTCCCGAGTGAGCTTCGATCGCGATGGCTTACAACCCCCGGGTCCCGCCCAGCCTCAGAATGGCGGTCGGAACCTCGCCGCGTCCGCCGTGAGCTTTGCCCCGCGCGGTACCGCTCTCAACCCGTCGCCCATGCCAGGCAGCTTCAGTTCGGACCTGCGAAGCCAGCTGAACCTCTCCCGTGCTGGGTCTCGCCCCGACATGTATTCCCTCGAGAAGCTGGACGAATATGTGGACGACACGCATGACCAACCCCTGACGCAGTTACGGGAGGAGTTGAAGCGTGAGATGAAGATCAAGGAGGGAAGCGAGAACATGTTGGAGGCTCTGAATACCAAAAAGCCAAAGCAGGCCAAGGAACAGCGAGCGAGGATCGAGGCCGAGCTGAACTCGTCCACCCAGAAGATCAAGGAGTTGCGTCGCAAAATCACGGCTGCCCAGACCACCAAAGCAACACCAACGACACCCGTCAGATCCAGAACCACTGCCTTTCTTCAGGACTCGAATGGTATGCGCTCCCCGCCAAGTGCTTCAAGGAGCGGCGCCGGTTCTGATTTTGACGAGCCGACCGAGTCACCCACGTATGCCCTTACCGAGCTCCTACAGGCCCTCGAGGTCGATGGCATGACCCCGGACTACTATGTTTCCAGGGCAAACAGCTTGGTTGATCTTTTCAAGCGTCATCCGACTCTTAAATATGACTTGGTGTGGTCCATTTTTGGCCTTCGCATGCAGGTCATGCTGATGAGCGAAAGTCGCGAAGTCGTTGCCGCAGGCTACAGGATGATACGATACGCCACCTCTGATATAGCGTCCCTCAGGAGAATCCGTGCCCTAAATACGGATTACCTGGTTACATGGTGCGTTCACTTCTGTCAGTGTCGTCTCGGTCGAAAACTAACCAAATTACACCAGGTCCTTGATCAAAGACCGTAAATCGGACGTCGAGCGTGAGCAGGCTCTCAAGTTTGTTCGCGCCTTTCTCGATGTTAAAGACGGCGTTAAGGAGATCTCGAGAGCAGTCGTCCGAACCATCGCCGCGATAGCTGAGGAGCCTGAGGAGCGGCTACGGTCAATCTGTATAGAGACCTTGGCCGAGGTTCTGATCCGCGATCCTGCCCTGCTCATATCTGCTGGAGGACTGGCGCCACTGCGCGACGCCTTGGCTGATGGATCATACAAAGCCTCGGAGAGTTTGACAAGTGCTTTCCTTTACCTCTTGGATGCGCCACAACGACGCAAATACCTTTGCGCCGGAAACGAGTTGGAAATCCTATTCACCGCGTTCACCGACGATCTCTCGACCAACGAGCGCATTCTCAAGCAGAACTCTAGGGCCGTGGCGTCGGCACTCAAGACATGGTCTGGGCTGATGACTTTGTCCATGTACAACTTCCGTGCCGTCAAGTCCATGATCCACAGCATGGTCGTGAACACCGGACCAATACGAGAGACCATCCTCGATCTCCTCTACTCGTTGTTCCGTATTAAGTCCCCGGCGTGGGCTACCTCTTTTCTGGCCGGTAGGCGACTCACCACTTATGGCAGAGTTACGAATCTCAGGTCTACGTCCACTAAAGTATCACATGGCGACTTTGATGATGACGGTGGCGAGCAGAATTTTGCCGAGCACTATACAGCACTATTGCTGGCCATCTTCGTCAAGTCGGGCGTGGTACAAGGCCTCCTAAGGCTGACCCAAGACCTTGAAAATTCGCCTGTCAAGAGGAAGGCAACTCTGCTCATAGGAGAGGTTCTCAAGCTCGCAAGCCGCCTTCTCCCACCGTCTTTGAGTAGCGGTCTGCAGATGCTGCCAGAACTGTTCAGCGCTGCCGCCAATCTTAAAGACGACAACCATTTCATTGCTACCGGAGTAGTATATCAAATAAGTAGCGTCAGCAAGACGCTCTACAGGTCATCGCCAACAACATACACCCCTTCGGTGACACCATCGAGCAACTCCCTGGATTTGGGGATACTTGATGACCATCCCAAAAGCAACACAGCTATCACATTTGATGATGCAACATTCCGACAACTACTCGTTGATTCACACGTCCTAAGCAGCTCCAACTATGCCAAATGGAACTGGGACATAATACTGAGAGTAATCGAAGGGCCCCTGACAAGCGGAAAGAGGCTTGAAGAGGCCATAAAAGCGTCCAAGTTCATAAAGCGTATCGTGAGCTTTTATCGGCCGTTCAAATACCGGTTCTCGGAGGTCAAGAGCACCAGAAACACGCAAAAATATGTCAGAGTGGGATGCTCTCTCATGCATACATTATTACAAAGCCCCGAAGGCTGCAAATATCTCTCGGACAACAAACTCCTCAGGCAGATTGCCGAATGTCTGGCACAATGTGACCCAACAAGCGGGTTGACAGCGCAATATCCAATGTTCGCTCGGGATCGTCTCACGGATACCCTGTGCGGAGGTTACTTCCCCATGCTCGGCATCCTTACCGGGGACCAGAAAGGCATTCAGATGCTCGATAGGTGGCGTATCTTCAACATGATGTATCGCATTGTTGACCTAAAGCAACGTCCCGATATCATCAAGCTGATGCTTGCAAACTTCGACTACTCTCTACACGGACACCCGCGAGTGCTTCTTTCCAAGGCCCTAACGGCCGGGACGAAGGATATCCGGATCGACGCCACAAATGCCTTGCGCAAGTATGCCACGCGACCAAGGATATCAACGCAGGGCCAGGAACCAAGTGACTCCAAATGGGCCATCCAGCTCCTGGTAACGCAGCTGTACGACCCAGAAATTGAAGTCTGTGCCACGGCTGTGAAGATTCTCGAGAAGGCCTGTAACACCAAGAACAACCTCGAGTATATCGTCGAGTGTCGACCAGCGTTAGATCATCTAGGAGAGATAGGAGCTCCCCTTCTATTGCGCTTTCTGTCGACCTCGATTGGCTACCACTATCTCGACGGCCTAGACTACATCAGCAACGAAATGGATGACTGGTTCCTTGGCCGCAATGATTCATACGTCAGCGTCATCGAAGCCAGTCTTGCCCGTTCCTTCCTAGAGCACCAAGACGACCACACTAACCGCATCAGTGTCTTTGATGACGAGCAAGAAATTGAGGCGGACAGTCACGTTCCTCCGCATTTCTACCGCGAGCTCACTCGGACACAAGAAGGCTGCAAGCTTCTGAGAGAAAAGGGACACTTTGACGAGTTCGCGGCCACGATTCGCGAGTACGGCATGCAGTCAGATGATCCAGAGATGATTGTCAAGGTCAAGGGCTGTCTATGGGCGGTGGGCAATGTCGGTTCCATGGAGCTCGGTGCGCCATTCCTCGAGTCTTGCGACGTCGTAGAACAGATTGTCAACATTGCCCAGAACCACGAGGTGATGAGTCTTCGTGGCACGGCCTTTTTCGTCCTCGGTCTCATATCCCGTTCCGTCCACGGCCTAGAGATCCTCCTCGAGAACGGCTGGGACGCCAACACCAACGTTCTCGGTAACTCACTAGGCTTCTGCATCCCCTCCGACCTCTCCAAACTCTTCTCACTCAAACCCTGGCAATACGTTCCCGTAACGGCCATTCAGCTACCCGACAGCCAAAAGACGGAAACCACCAAGCTTCCCGCCATCCCCTCCCGCCCGCGCTCACAGAGCTTAATCAACGCTATCAAGGAAGAAGAAGAGGAGAAGCAAAAGGCGGCGGCAGCAGCGACGCAAATCAGCTCCAAGCCCGACAACAGCACCGCCACCCAGTCAGCGGGCAACGCACCGCCGGCCGAAGATTCGGCCCCGAGGAACGAACTCGATCCGGACCCGACGAATCAGCGCATCCTCGAGCTCATCATCGACCTGGCCAACATGGTCCTCTACCGCCGCTCGCGCGCCGAGCTCCTGCAGATCAAAGCCACCAAGAAGGCTGCCGGGTTCAAGCAGCCGCAGCTCTTCAGGAAGGTCATGGGCCTGCTCGAGTGCCACCACTACCGCCTGCAAGACCGGAGCATGATTGTCGGGTTGTTCGACAAGTCGGTTTTGCGAGCGGTGATCTTTGATGAGGGCCAGACAACAAGCGGGGAGAGTGAGATGGATATGGACATGGAAGAGGATGAGGACGGCGACGAAGACGAGGATGATGATGGTGATACGACCATGTCGGCCACGGGGATGGATTCCGTGAGGGAGGAGGACGAAGAAGATGAGGTCCAGGCCCGAGATGGGCGGCGGCAACAAGAGGGTCCTGATGACAACGGGATGGGGATGAGTGAAGACGAGGAGCAAGAAGAGGAGGAGGAGGAGGAGGATAAATCATCACCTCCTGCTCTTAAAGAACGAGATCTTCACCGTCGCGGTGGTCAGCACGGTCACCTCCACCATGGCGGGCTGGAAGAAGCGAGGAGGAGGTATGCCATGAATCCGCCACCTCGTGGTGTCGGCGTACAACAGGTTGGCGGAATCAGCGGTAGTCCCGTCGGCGGCAGCGGCGGCGGCGGCGGTGTTGGAAGCTTTGGGAGCTCGGTGGGTGGCTCGGGCTCGGGCTCAGGCTCGGTGGATGAGCAACAAAGGACAGAACGACAAAGGAGTATAAGTGATCCGGCGGATTTGGAGAGGCATTCCATGATCAGAGGGCCGTTTAGGTAGCGTAGCGGCTGTAAGGCGGTGGCCGTGGGTGGGTGGGTGGGTGCTTTTTGTTCCAGTTGGTGTTGTTTTTTCCAGTTGGTGTTGTTTTTTCAGGATAACTAACCATTTGGCGGTCGAGCGAGCATTGGAAGGAATGGAGGTCGGGCGAGGTACGGAGGTTGACTAGACTAGCAGGCAGGCAGGCAGGCATAGAGAATAGGCAAATTCTTGACTGTCTCTTTTTTTTCGTTGGTTTTCATCTTGGTTGTCTATATACAAGAAGCTAGCTAGCTGGACGATACACAGAAGAAATGGGGGGGCGTGTGAGCGGATGAGGTGTCAGCGGTCGGTCGGTTTGTCGATTGCTTGGTTGGGTGTTTGCAGAGCGGACGAAAGAAGCATATGGATGGGTACCTACACTACATAGCGAAGTGTGATCTCTTTAAGATCACGCGTTTTCTAATCTTGATTTTGTCTTTACTCTCTTGTATCATGATCTATCTGCGTGAAATAACATCAGTGGCATTCTTGGTTTTCGGTGCGATGGGATGACTGGTCAGTGAGTTGTTCCCGTTTCTTTCGGTCAAGTATACGTATTCGGTTGAGGTAGTATGGCTTTTGCAGAGACGTCGAGGTCAAAGTCGGCGCGAGGAGACTCGGCGGCATCCTGTTTTGCATGTTTCCAGCCTTGTTTAACGGTCCGGTGATTTTCTGGTTTGAGTTTACAGCATGAGGCAGGTGAGATTCGTGAAGGGCGGACAGTCCCATCATGGGCTTTGAATCCTGAGCTCACCAAAGCTTGACATTCACTCTGTCGTACAAGTCCAGATCTGGTTCAACCGGAAAACCCAGGGCATGATAACATGGCATCACATTACATCTATCCCGTAGTATGTATGAACTCACACTGTTTTCTGTCTCAAACCACTTCACACAGTATTGGCAACATGGGGACGTTCAGATATATCAGATCGAAGCGAGTTTCTCTCTTCTTTCTAATCGCACGCTGTCGAGCTAGACGATCTAAAGTGACCAAGAACCAAGGATCCAAGGATCATAGCGGTAGTGGTGGTGTTGGTTGATAGTTGGAGTACAGAAGAGAAGAAGAATGAAGAATGAAGAATGAAGAAGGGTTTGCCCTCCTTTTTGCTAAAAAGCCAAAGCCTTTTGCAAGATTAGAAGAGGTAAAGCGGTTTCAGAGTTGATCCGGTTTCCCAGGTTTTCCTCCCAAACGTAAGGTTGCTGATGCTGGCGTGCGTGCGTGTATGTTTGCGCGCGCGCGCGCGCATGTTGTGTCAAATTACACTGTACATTGTTGTTGTATGTTGTTTCCCTTCTCCTTTCCACATTGATTGGTATGCTCTCCTCTCCTCTCCTGTCCTCTCTCTTCCTTTCCCCACATCCTCCTTTTAACCTCCCTCGCCTCTTAGGTATCGCCACAGCCCGGTTGGATCGGCGCTTTGGTTGTTTCCCTCCTCTTCCTGTTCTCAGTTTCCGTCCACGTCCGCGTCTCCTTGCCTTTTCTTAGCAAGAGCAAGGTCAGAATGTGAGCTAGGAAGAGGTATTGCGAAGTACCGACCCCCAAAGATAAGCCAGATGATAACAATTGAGTAAAAAACAGACAACGAACTTCGTGACAGCAGCCTCTTTCGTAACATGCTTCCAACACATGATAACCCCTGGTGTATAGAGACAAATCCCCAGTCATTCACCCAAATGCCACACCCCCGTTTTACACCTTTCCCACAATCCCCCAAGCCGGTAGCTATTCTCCTGGTAGAGAGCTAAAAAAAGGACAAAAAGCCCATTTGGGCCGTGATATGACGTATAATAAGTCATATAGCAGCAGACAGGATCAACTCAAACCCGCTGTAGTCCACACCCGGTACGCCAAGTATGAGGTTAGGCCGTTAACCTACACTTTAGATATGAGCAAGAAAAACAAAAATGCATGATAATAAAAATGACTGGGAACACCATTCTCTTCCCGCGTGTACGTTGTTGCAAAGAATCCGAAGACATGACAGGTTCGGGCGAAGCAATGAAAAAAAAAAAAGGATACAGAAATAGGTAGACCGTTAGGTATTCGAAGACAGAAGCCAAAAACCCGTATTCCATTTTGACCTCCCTGCACCCACACCAGCCCAACAGCCGCAACCCCCAAATCCCGTTTAGGACGCCGATTGTGTAGTACGTGATGCCCGCTCTATTCCAGTGTAGATATGTAAACCCTGCCGCTCTGGTACTGACAGAATGCGAGCAAACGGAAGAATAGCAAGGGTGATGAGACATGAAGAGAAGGGAAATCATAAAAGACATGATGAGTGCTCCAACCCTCTAATAAGGGGAGCTCGATCATCTAGTCATATAAACCACCCTTTCAGTTCTCCAAAAGAACAAAAGGGGTGAAGCGTGTATCGTCATCATCACTCCTCGTTATCTCTCTGGGCTGCAAACAGATCGGCCTACGATCGGCTTTCTCCTTGCCGTTGTCGCGGCCCTTCGCTTTTCATGGTCGGTTGTGATGGCGTACTGTGTCGGGATCGAGGGGGCGGGTTGCCTGGGGCGACCGACTGAGGACCGGCGTGCGTCTGATGTGATGACGGACCTTCGCACTACGTAGAAACCATCATTTGATTCATAGCCAGGCGGCCTGTGTCGTCGTCCATCATGGGCAGGCCGTCCATCGGGTTGCCGCGCTGCTCCATGGCGTTCATTCGAGCTTCCATACTGTTCAACCGAGTGTCAACAATGTGGCCGCCGCTCATACCACCGTTCGTCATGGGCCCATTACCAAGATTTCCGCCTCCCATATTAGCCGTAGGCATGCTTGGGGTGCCCATCGAGGGCACACCGTTGCCTCCAAGCATCGATGGGCGGCCACTTTCTATCGCGTCGAGTCGCTTCTCCATATTGTCGATTCGCGCCAGGATGGTAGAGACATTGGCCTCCAGCCTCTGAAAGCTCGTAGTCTGATCGTGCTGCAACCGGTCAATCTTGTTGGTGATGCTGCGGATGCTTTGTGCGATGGGGGTGTTTTCCTGTCCCGGCACAGCGGCGGGTATGCGCGGCTCATGGTTGTGACGGGCCTCCTGAACCGCAAATCGCCACTGGTTGCCCAGATTGACTTCACAAACCGCCTTCGCGCGCCATGGGCAATCAACCTTGCGAGTGCTGGGATTGCGCTTCTTCGCGGTGCTGCTGTACTTGACGCCGCCGCGGTCACACACGAGGTCGTAACGCGTCGGTTTGCCCTCACGGTAGTTGCTGGCACGCAGCTTGACAACTCCGTAACCCTGATCCTTTGCAACCTTTTGAACCGAGGCCAGCAAATCCTCAAAGGTGCGATAAATACCCTCGGGTGGCGGGGCCAACGCGGGCGCGGGTGAAGGGGGCGGCATGGTGGACTGCGCGGTCGAGTTCGTCACGGGTTGCGTCCACCCGGACAGGTTGTTGTAGCCGGCGCTGGAGGTGGCCACGGTGACAGGGGAGGGGGATGAGTCGTTTGGAGCGGAGTGGTTGGGGTACGTGTTGAAGTTGACGCGATCCGTAGTACTCGACGGGGCAACAGACGAGCGCTGCTGCTGCTGTTGGGCCTGTTGGGCCTGCTGTTGTTGTACCTGTTGTTGTTGTTGCTGCTGTTGTTGCTGGGCGTGGTGCTGGAGCTGGAGCTGCTGATGCTGGGAACGCTGCTGATGGTGTTGCTGATGGCTGGCACCGTTATCGCCGGTCAGGTTGCTGAGCGAGGTGAGGCCGGAGTTGTCAGGCTGGGGGGCAGGTGCGAGAGAAGACGGGGGAGGATCGGGGTACTGCTGGTGTTGAGGAGCGTTGTAGCCGTTCATCAAGCCGTCAGTGTCGGCCGGGACCTGGTGGGATCTGGTGTCGAGCTGTTGCGATGCAAAGGTGGGAGGTTGAGCAGACACCGTGTCGGGGTGGGCGCGCACGGCCTGCGGATGCTGGTGCTGGTGCTGGTGCTGCACCTGGACCTGCTGGTGATGGGCTTGGTGTGGGTGAGCACCGGGGTGTGGCTGCTGGACCTGGTGGGTTTGGTGGGCGTGCTGCGAGTGCTGAGGGACACCGTGCTGCGACGGGTGCTGGACCTGCTGCACAGTGTGCTGGTGCTGGCTCTGGACGGGGTGCTGGCCCCAACCTTGGCTCACCGGGACTGGAACTGGCACTCCAGGGCCCTGTGCGCCAGCAGCAGCGCTGGCACCATTTCCGGCGTCAGGGACGCGGGTCGTGCGAGAGGGGCGCTTGCGCGACCGTTGTGGCTGGGCGTGGGCTTCCATTGGTGACAGACAGCGACTGTCTTTTTTTCCAGCACGAGAAGACGAAAATAAAGTAAGCAGGACGGCCGGTAGAGGTGCGGTACGGACTATGCGTGACGGGACGGGGGACTCGAGAGCGAGGGACTGCCGTGGATCTCCGTGCAGGTTGTACGCACAACAAGCAGAGCGCGGGCGGGCAGGAAGGACAAGCTGCTGCCGTGGTGCTGCTGGTGGTGGTGGTGCTGATGGGAGCAAAAGGTTGTTGGTGGTGACCAAGCCAGTCGCAGCCAGTCGCAGCCAGTGGAGGGATACTGTGTGCAGTTGGGGTCGTGCTTGGTGCTTGGGGGGGACAGGTCCGTGGTAGGTGAGTGGGCAGGTGGGATGAGTGACAGGTAAAAGTAGTACTGTGTGTAGCACTCACAGTGGGCAGACTTGGACGGTTCCTTGGTTGCGAGACAGGAACTTGAACTTGGTTGAGACTAGAGGTAAGGTATGACTTGAGCGAACAAACCGAAGCAAGTCAGAGAACCACTACTTGCTAGACCGTAGCCCGTCTCTTTCTTGGATGCGTCGTCGATGCCGGGGACTTTTTGCCTTTCTGGAGATCAACGTCGTGCACTCGGATGAAGGTCGTTCCGTCTCGGACGCTTTTAACGGCCTAGCTGTCTGTTTGTGAACCACGCCCCGGTGATGTCTGAAAATTTGATGAGCAAAGTTTGATTGAGAAGGTGGCTTGCCCTCGCTCCTCTTTCTTTTCCTCAGGTTATTTGCTAGCACAACAAGGCAATTCCGCGAAAAATTCATCCATACGAGCTTGGGCCACCTGCTGGTCGTGGGCCAGCACGACCAGGAGGCAGTGGGAAGGAACGTTCCCGTACCAACTGCCCTCCACCACTCCTGCCAAACCCACAGCGCGCGCACCCTCTTGGCGACTTGGCCCCCGGCAAGCCCAGCCAAATGCATCCAAGGACGACTCCAGGCGCAAGGAAACAAAGCCTGGGCCCGCACACCGGGGCCTTGGGGCTTTGTACCTGTACCTTTCCCACCTCGAGCCCACCTCTTCCCAGAGACACCCGTTCGTCACCACCCGACAACCGACACACCCCCTTCCCTTTTCCAAGCTCGGCCCTTCCATCTCTCTTCGCTTTCCCGCACCGACTCTCAAAAAGACGCCCCCCTTCCGTCTATCGATCCATCAGCCACGACTTTGCACCAATCCAGAGCTCTGGACACCACACCGCATTCCTCCCCTTTCTGGGTCCCTTTGACTCTTGCAAGCTCTTTCTCCCGTCGGCCAGACCCCCCCGGCACGCGATTCAATCATTCAACGACAGCTGCCCGCGAACTAGTACCGCTACACGCCTACGCTATCCCACGCACCAGACCGTAGCCCCCGAGACCAGCCAAGCCGCGTGCCTTTCCTGGTGTTTCCGCGTCCATTCTCCTTCCTTGTTCACCCCCCTGGTCCCTGTCGAGGTTCCCGTTTCCCGGTCGAGTTGACGCTCACCAACCGTCCTGGCGACAACAACGACTGGTCCAGCGCCTGATATCCATTCCCACCATCGCCCGGGACCGACTGGGACTTGTCAATCCCCGCCCCACCTGACATATCCCGTCCGCATCGGCGACTGCTTTCTCCGTTATTAGCTTCGCAGCCCCCCTCCGACTGCGCTTGGGTTGTGAGAGTTGGCCTCGGAGTGTTGCGGTGCCCTGTGATTCAACAGAGGACCGGATGCGGAACTGGATCGCCATTGCATTTGGCATTCCATGTTGTATCGCCGTCTTCCCCCTCTGGATAGTCACGCCTGCTGTCACGCTGTCCTTCGCTACGCGTTCTAGAACCTTGCGGTCCGAGCTGCTTGCACCCCAAGGACCTGTCGCTGTGCCAGCACAGGAGCGCATCCTCGATGGCGGCCATGGCAAACAACCAAACGCAAGCGCCCAAAGATGCTAGTCTCCAGGAAGAGGAGCGCCTCGAGGATGCGCTTGACCACCTGAACGAGCTGCACGTGCAGGCAAGTCAGACACACACCGGTTATCGTGGACCTTATTCTAACTTGCCATCTTTGGGCGTACAGCTTCAGCGTCTTCGCTCTGCGATACCACGCATGTTCCACCCCATGGCCGTGAAGCCATCCACACGTATGTGCTGTCTTCCGCCCGATGGGCAAACACATTCGGATACCCATAGCCCTATCCGGGGCAACTTGCATAGCTAACATGGTCACTAGCCCAGAATACATTCGCCGCCTTTTCAAATGCGGTGCAGGATACGGGGAAGGAAATCCGCCAGTTCAAAGACACTATCCGAAGCAGCGAAACCGAAAAGGTCTTCAACATGGCCAACGAAAGCCGGCGAGCAAATCCCATGGGAATCAAGCCATGGAGAGCTAGGGACGATCCCGAGTGGACGACGAGAAAGAGGAGAAGGCTGAACAACGGGCTCAAGCAGTCTTGACGAAGAACGATGGACCACGACACGAGCATACACGCTTTTTGATTCATAATTTTTACTGAGGGCTGGCATTTGCTTCTGGAGTATGGGATTGGCGCTGGGAGTTAGGGTCGATTTCGGAAGACATAATTGCGGTTTCAATGGGCTGCTCTGGTAATACCCGGCGAGTTATCAAATAGTAGTGAAGAGGGAGTCTCTAGGTGCACAGTTCTTGCATGGGAATAGTTGGCTGGGTTCATATCACTTGGAAGGATGCAGTGAAGACTGAAGCGGTCTGAGAAGCAAAGTTACGATTGCGATTGGTCGTTATCTCACATGTCGATCGAGGCAAACATTTCTTAGTCACTAATAAAAGGAGGGGAGGATGCGAAGTGGTACGTTCTTCCATTCGTGTTCAAAGAAAACTGGCATGGGTGACGTTGATAATGCTGGCTGGTGCCTAGGCTGATTTAGCAGAGCCAGCGTTGTCGTTGAAGTTCACATTTACCATCGATTCCTTCAACTTGTATCACCATGTCTTGTCAACAAAAGGGGTGACGTGACAGCTGTGAGTGCTTGATGGTTGAAGGTGGACAGTGCACGCTGGCAGCTGGCTTTCGCTCTGGCTGAGCGACGCCCGGCCGCTGCCAAGACGGGACCTTCAACCTTGTGCTCATCCACAAAATGGCTGTGAAGAGATGCACCAGCCACACTATTACCTAAGCAGGATTAGCCAGCTTTCGCGGACGGCACTGGGCAGCACCGCGCACTGGGGCTGGGTGGGGCTTCCGCTGGGCGCCCGCACAGAAATTTCCTAACCACCAATCTTCAAAATTCATCCACTTCGCAGTCGTGAGCGATAGTTTTGCAGCATCGAAACTCGACAGCAACACCGCAGCAATGGCGTCTTCCCGTGTCACCTACCGCCGCCGCAACCCGTGAGTTTTGATCATTTTCGAATTTCTCTATGAGGAGAATTGCTGGGAAACGGGGGAACACGATGGGCTAACTTTTTGCCTTCTTTTCGCACAACAGCTACAACACCACGTCCAACAAGACGCGGATTGTTAAGACCCCCGGCGGTCAGCTTCGTGTTCTGCACATCAAGAAGCGTGGTACTGCTCCTAAGTGCGGTGACTGCGGCATCAAGCTCCCTGGTGTAAGTTATTCACACTATTTTGCGATTTTGCGAAGCGACGAACTGGGGGGATAAGCTGGGGGGAGAACCGAACGGCCAAACGACTCGACCGACTTGCGCGGAGAACGAACCACGTCCCAACGACCAATCACGAGCATACACGAACTTGGGAGGACTGGAAGGAATCAACTGCGCTGCCCGGCATATGGTGGAGGTTGGAGGGGACTGTGACGGCGACGACCACGACGAGAACGACAGAGACGAGATTATGACTGACAACGCGGCCCGGCCCCCCAGCATAAGAGATCTTGAAGGAGGAATTATGGACTACCGCAACGGTTGCGACGCGCCGAAACACGTATGCTGACGGAACCTTGCTATCACACAGGTCCCTGCCCTCCGCCCCCGCGAGTACGCTCAGCTCTCCAAGCCCAAGAAGACTGTCCAGCGTGCCTACGGTGGTTCCCGCTGCGGCAACTGCGTCCGCGACCGTGTCGTCCGTGCTTTCCTCATTGAGGAGCAGAAGATCGTCAAGAAGGTCCTCAAGGAGCAGAGCCAGGCCGAGAAGTCCAAGAAGTAAACAAGTTAAATTGTCAGCTTTCTTTGGGTCTTTGTCTTGGGGGAAATCAACAAACATGGTTGCGCAAGGTTGACGGTCTCATTGCTTCGGTGTTCAATTGGGAAAAGGGGGCTGCACAGCATTGCGATGCCATAACACAGCAACACAATACAGCCGGGGATTCATCGGTTGTCTCTTGTTCTCTTAGGGTTGCTTTCTCACCCGGAATGAGGTTCCATCAATGAAACTGGACTTCAAGCCGTGCTCTCACCGATCAACCGAACCTGGGCAATGCTGCTAGAAGAAGAACAGCCGCCTAGGCGTTGCCCTGCCTCTGCTATATCTCTATATATAGAGTTGGCTTAGGATTAGGAGGGCGTCAAGGCGTCCGTGGATGACTGCAAGACGATGAACCGCAAGACACTCAATATGACCGCCAAAAACTTGTGCAGCAATATCTGGTTGATGTGATAATGATAATACCCCAGTTTAAGTGCTTGTTTATAATGAATTCTTCACTTGTTCCTCAGTCACGTTGTGCAGCTCGTATAGAGACTTTTTAGTCCAGTCTGTGTCATCTGAAAAGGGTGTATTTTGGTCATGCACCACCCGATCTTTTGCTAGCGGGAATGACGTCGAGCTCTTATCGATTTCTCAATTTCAACCCCTAATTGTGACCACCTCACCTTCTCGAAACCTCAACATCACACAACCCACCACTCACCACAACCGCAGCAACTTACTTGCATGCCAACGCAATGATAATACCAATCAATTCGATGCGCTCAACTGTACTCCGCGCCCTCCAGCGCTCAAGCGCGTTCCCTCTCACCACCCCGCGCCTCGTCTCACGCTCAACCTCATTCTCACCCTCATCCCATATCACAACCACCACCACCATCAACAATGCCACAAGACGCTTCACCACCACCCCCCTCCTCTCCGCCAAACAAAAGAAACAAAAACTAGCCCACAACAACGAACCCATCCCCGACTCCCCTCCCACCACCGACTTCGGCGAGATGGACATGCTAGGCCAGACACCCATCCCCTCTACGGCCATAGACGAGTGTTTTCATGATGGGTTTGCGCTGAATAGCGGGGTGCAAGTTACGGGGGGCAGTGGTGTACTGTTGGTGGGTGGTGAGGTCTTTGAGTGGAGGCCTTGGTTGCTTCCTGTCGAGGGGGAGGGGAATAAGGGGATGGGGGAGAAGGGGGTGGTGGGAAAGGAAAAGGGAAGGGAACAGAGGAGGAAGTTGGTGAATGAAAAGGGACAATGGGATGTGCCGCACGAAGAGCAGTGGGGGTTTTTGGGGAGGTTGTGGCCTCGGCCTGGTATGTCTTTTTCTTTTTCTTCTCTCCTTTTTTCCGTCCCCATCCATCCCCTTCCAGTTCGAACTCCCTTTCACTTCACTAGTGCCCCGAAGACTCAACTAACATCCCCCGTCCCCCCATCACAGACCTCCTAATCCTAGGTGTCGGCCCCTCCCTCCGTCCCCTCTCGCCCGCTACCAGAGCCCTGATCAACGGCATGGGCATCCGCGTTGAGGTCCTGGACACGAGAAATGCTGCGTCGCAGTATAACTTGCTGGCGACGGAGAGGGGAGTGGATCAGGTTGCTGCTGCGTTGGTGCCGCTTGGTTGGAGGGAGTAGCGAGGAGGTGTGAAGCGTGGGGAGTGAGGGAAACGTGGGTGGTTGAGGGGTGCTTGATGGGTGTGTGAGTTGGGATGGGTGGGTAGAAGAGTTGGGGAGATGTGATATGGGGAGGAGTATGAGGATATTGAGAAAGAACAGGGAGATGGATGTGTGGGAGTGGGTGGTGGTGATAATGGATGGCCCCGAAGGGTCGAGGGCTTGGTACGAGCTTTGACGTGAGGTGAGGGATGAGGGTATCTTAAGGGAAGCGGATGAGAAAAACAGGACCTGGTGTCAATCAGGATGGGGAGGAACAAGACAGAACTCCATATGGCAAGGAGGATATGGTCCCGGCGGTCAACAGAACAGAGCAAAACGGACCAGAACAGGACTCGGTATCTTGAGGAGAGGGATATACGAGGTAGAGAAACAGATTATATCAGCTAGAGGTGCGGGTAGACAAGTATAGACGAGTAGGAGGTGTATGATAGTTTGTAAGTTGTTGGGAATATTCGCTCCTCGTAGATTCAATTTGGCGTCTGTTGCGGTGTATCATTTAGATCTTGGTAAACCTTTGAGTTGCTTCTCTGCGAATGCCAGAGTTTAACTGTTTTGCTTCGAGCCATGAAGCTATCTTGACATTGGTAGCACCGTTAGGGTGATAAGATCAATGAAAATAGACAGAGACACTATATTAAGTACTCAGACTAAGAACCGCATGGACTTTCGTTGGAATTTTGTTTACTCCTGGTTTGGGCATTCGAATTTGAGGAAAATTTTTAGCGATGATTTAGAACAACTTCACAACATTCAGCATCTGGTACATAATGGTACACTATAGCTACACCACTCATGGGCTTTGTTGATGATGACAACTTCCAAGATAGCCCTGTCCATAGGTCTATTCACGGTAAAACTCCTAACCAGACATGCCATGGGTGTGCAAAGCCATGCTTGCCTGTTTCAACAATAATCCTTTATAGACCATCTGGTATGACCAGTGCATGTCGATGTTCCTTTTGTCTAATCCCATACAGTCATGCCAGACACGCATAAGTCTATATACAGAGTAGCTCTTGTTGCTTTCCCATATACTCTGACTCATCCGATGGTATAAATTCCTTTCCGTACAACCTGATCTTTCTTTATAGATCTAGAGCATATGCGAGACTCTGTCATTCATTTCGCGATCATTCATATCATGGCCAAAATCCTAGCTTGGCCAGTGGATAGCATTGAGAACGTCATGAGCATTCGTTCCATCTGTCGTCCTTTGCCGCTTCTAGTTGGCAGGGACAGTGGGGAACTCGACGGCGTTAGCCTGGACCCAAGCCGCGAGGTTGGCGCGGGTGTTCCTGAGAGCACCGAGCAGACCCTGCTGGGTGTGGATGGCCTCGGCTCTGTGGACAGAGTTGAGGTTCTTGACCAGAGTCATCTGGTAGCAAGTGGCAGAACCCTGGCGAGCGATGATGGTAGAGTAGGCAAGGAAGAACTCCCAAATCTGAAGAAGCAAGTTAGCCATGCACACAGACAATACGAAGGAAGGATGCAAAACTTACGCGGAACCATCTCTTGCCGTACTTGGCAACAACCTTCTCACGGTTGGCCATCCAGTTGCGGTACCACCTCCAGAGAGTAGCAGAGTAGTGGACACCAATGGTATCAACAGCGCGAACCTCGAAACCAGCCTTCTCAAACTGATCAATGTACCAGCCGAGAGGAGTAGAAGCATCAGCACCGGGGAAGATGTGCTTGTTCATGAAGAGACCCCAGATCAAGTCCTCGTACTGCCAGCTCTTACGGAGACCAGCGAGCTGGAAGACGGCAATACCATCATCATCGAGCATGTTGTAGACCTGCTTCATGAAACCCTTGAAGTGACGGACACCGACGTGCTCAGCCATCTCGAGACAGGTGATCTTGTTGTACTTGCCCTCGGGGACGGGGATATCACGGTAGTCCATGCACAGAATCTTGCTCTGCTCCTCGGGAATGCCAGCGTTGCGGAGAGCCTTGTTACCCCAAGCGGTCTGGTTACGGCCGAGAGTGATACCGGTAGCCTTGACACCATAGTTGACACTGGCGAAGCGGGCGAGGGTACCCCAGCCGCAGCCGATATCGAGCAGTCTCTCGCCCTCCTGGAGGTCAGCCTTCTCGCAGACAATGGCAAGCTTGTTATCCTGGAGCTCCTCGAGGGTCTCCTCCTTGTTGGCGTCCGAGATGATGCCAGAGGTGTAGATCATACGGGGGCCCAGGAACCAGGAGTAGAAGTCATCACCGCGGTCATAGTGGTCGCGAACCTGCTCCTCATCTGGTGGCGCCAGAGTGTTAGCATGGTGTTTTCGACATGGCTTCGGCAGCAGCGGAAAGAGATGTGGACATACCCTGGGAACGAGTGTGCATGAGAACCTCGGGGATCATGCCAGTAACGAAGAACTTGATCAGGCCATAGGTGAAGCGGAAGCTGGCCCAGTCGTGGCGGTACTCCATGACGTCGAGAGCATCGCCGTTGAAGTCAACCTCCTCGTTGAAGTACATCTCGTGGAAGGTCTCCATGGGGATCTTGTTCTTGCCGCTGTACTTGAGCTTGTCCTCGGGGTTCTTGAAGGTGAGGTAGTGCTCCACCGGGCGACCGGGGAATTTGGCCTTCTCATTCTTGCGCGGGGAGAACATGGAATGGGTCACCCAGAAGCCGGCAAGCAGGGGAAGAGTGGTGAAGAGGGCAAAGAAGAGGGTGGTCTTCAAGCCACCGCCGACCTTCCATGAGAAGTAGTAGGGGACACCGAAGAGGATGCTGAAGAGCGCAAGGTTCGAGAAGCTCTCGGTACCGGCAGCATCGGCGGGCAGCGGGGCATTCTTGATGGCTGGGAACTATACATGGGGAACGGTATGTTAGCAAAGCTCTACCGGACGCGATCTTGAAGCGCGTCTTTCCATAACAGAAAGAGAAATAGATGCATACAGTGGTGGTGCGAACACCACAATCCTCCTTGGGCTTCTCGGTGTTGGAGGGGGGCTGCGCGGGAGTCTCGACGAAGGTGTATGCGGGCTTCGCGCCGCTGACGCTATGCGGCTCCGACATGATGACAGAAGCTCGCAATGCGGTGCGGACTCTGTGTGGTTGTGAGGGTAAGGAGAGGTGTGTACTTTGGGATCAGGAAGATTCCAAGTAGTACATGGAGAAAAAAAAAGACTGAGAAGAGAAGAGGAGGGGGTGGTTAGTTTTGAAGACACGCACTGCATGACAGGTCCCCAGCAAAAGATGGGATGAACTTGGAGCTAGTGCCCGGTTATGCCAGTGTGTCCCGTACCACGTCCCACGTCCCACGTCCCCGTCCCATGTCCCAATCCCAGCTTCTGAAGCAGCTCCCGTCTGTGTGTGGTCTGTGGTCCCAACCCAATGAGTACAACTTCCCCAGCAACAGTCTTGGCTCTGCTCCAGTTGATACTTCCACAACTTCTCACTGGAGGTGCACCTAGCTGGACCCCTCTCGCTGCCAGGTGTATGTGCTACTGGGCGGTGTGGATGCGTGGCTGGGGACAGCTGGCCGGCCACTTGATGTGGGGTTGCAACCCGTTTCAAGAAGTTCAATTGGGACGTCAATTGGCCAATCTGGAGATGGAACCTGAAGCTGTGCCTTGGCGGGACGGGACGACAGTGAGGCACGACAACAATGGGCAATGCAGTGAGTGGCATCAGGAGAACTTCAGTTGATCCTGTTCCTGAGAGTGAAGCTGGAGCTGGAGCTGTTCTCAATCCTCGTTTGTCACAAGCAAAGCTGCACAAGAAGGGAGCCGTGACCGTGCACACCCGGGGACAAGCAAGGGTTCTCGTAACACATGTTCATTCGATGTTCATGGCTTCCTCCAAGCTGCATCACGCACTCAGGGTTCCCCAACCTACTTGGCACGGATATATATCCCGTCATTATTGGTAACACAGAGATAGGGGAAAGAAAGGGGCATCTTGAAATCCCCCGGATTCTTCATCTCAAAGATAAGGCAAATTGGCATGTTCTGCTTTCCTTCCTTTCTGTTTGGCCATGTCTTGTGTCTGGTCTCGTCTTCCTCCGGGAGGATTCCGCAACCCAGACCGGAGCTCTCCCGGTCTCCATCCCGGGACCAAGAGATAAAATCAAACGATAGCTGGACGAAGAAGAGGAAGCCCTGCCATCCTTGTCTCGACCCCATACGATTACCCAAACGACTCGTAACGTCAGTGGATCACCACCCGCATCACCTCAACCACATCCTTGAACTTCTTTTTTATCCCCAGACACGAGCTATATCTCACCCCTCAGAATCTAGATTGCACTCTGGCCTAGACCCCTATTCTACTGTATGTTTAGAAGGAGCCTAGCGTATGTCTTTAGTCTAAGCGAGGAGCCTCAACCCAACATTGTTTGAATGTCATTGAAGACACATCTCAGAATTGTCATTGAAGTTCAAGCTTAAGCTGAAAGGTCCAAGATCAACCGAAAAGGGGTCCGTCAGAGTGTCTCAGCTCTCAAGCATCACCTCCAGCCACGTACAATCTTCCCTCCCATGGCCTCAACCTTCTCATCCCCCCTTCTCCCTCTTCTTCGTTTCCATAGTTCCCAACCATAAACTTCAACCCTTTCTCATGCTCCGGCAACACCAACTCCTGCTCCTCACTGCTAAAGTTCAGAGCAACCACAACGCGTTTACCTCCGAATCTCTTGACAAACACAAACGTCTTCTCATTGTCGATATCATACGCTTCGAACGTGCCATGCACGAGCACCTCGCTATGTTCCTTGCGGAAACGGATCATGTCTCTCCAAAAGTTGAGCGTCGAGTTCGGATCATCAAGTTGCTTGGCCACGTTGATCTCGGGATACAGGTCGTGGACATGCGCCCAGGCACCTTCCTGCCTTTCGGTGAACCCAGCATACGGACTGTCATCCCACTGCATAGGTATCCGGGCGTTATCCCTGCTCAGAGTCTGGAGGCTGCGCATCACGTACGCCATCTCCTCGGGATCGTTGTTGGTCTTGGCAGCCATGAGCTTGTAGAAGTTGACGGACTCAATGTCCTTGTAGTAGTCTATCGGCCAGTCCTTGGGCACGTTGATCATGCCGATCTCTTGGCCTTGATAGACGAAGAGCGTTCCGGTTAAGGAGCACATCATCAGCGAGAGCATCTTGCCTGAGAGGACGCGGTACTCGGGGGCGTCGGAGGCGAAGCGTGAAATGGAACGGCCTTGGTCGTGGTTTTCGCAGAAGGATGTCGTCCATCCGTCAGTGCCCTCGATGAAGCGTTGCCACTTGTCGACGATCTTCTTCAGCACTGGCAGCTTCCACTCCTCAAAGTGGTACTTGTGCGTGCCACCTTGGCCGATGTCCACGATGTCGAACTGGAACACCATGCTAAGCTGCTTATCCTTGCGTCCAACATAGTTGAGCACCCTCTTCGGGTCAGGAGTGTGCGGTAACTCGCCGACGGTCATAGCGTCGTAGCGGTTGAGCACCTTCTCATTCATCTCGCGCAGGAACTCGTGCATGCGTGGCCCGTTGGCGTAATAGCACCATGCTGGTTGTTCGTAGAAGCGAGAGTCGACGATGGGAGCGTCAAGGAAGTCGGTGGACTTCGAGTACCTAGAAGAGATAAACATTAGTATCTGGTTCTGATTACGAGGAGAAGGTACAGAGAATGCTGACATATTCACACAGTCAACCCGGAAGCCGTCCACGCCCTTATCCAACCAGAAGCACATGGCGCTGTCGTAGATGGCTTTGCGGCACTCTTCGTTTTCCCAGTTGAGGTCCGGCATTTCCTTGGCGAACAGATGAAGGTAATACTCGTTGGTATGCTCGTCATACTCCCACGCAGTGCCCGAGAAGTAACTCCGCCAGTTCGTTGGTGGAAGCCGTGTTCCGTCTTCGGCGTAACGAGGAGGTTTCCAGATGTACCAGTCACGCTTCGGATTATTCTTGGAGGATCGCGACTCCTTGAACCAAGCATGCTGATCAGAAGTGTGGTTGACAACCAGGTCTAAAACCAGTCTCATTCCTCTGAATATGCGTCAGTATAGGTCTGGTCATGACATGGCGATATATGAGGTTTACCTCTTGTGGCAAGCTTCAATGAGGTCCTCCATGTCCTTGACTGTGCCGTACGGAGGGTAGACCTCCTCATAGTTTGAGACGTCGTAGCCCATGTCAATCTACACATATCAGACGTTAACACCACGAGCGTACATGAGGAAGAGATTCATTACCTGTGGACTGTTAAACCTGTTTCAAAGCACGTTAGCTTTCGTTTTCCACGGTCAGCTTCGAACTATAGGATAACCAGGCCATACATTGGAGAAACCCAAACGATATCGACTCCCAGATCTCGGATGTAGTCCAACTTGCTGATGATGCCCGGTATATCCCCTAATCCGTCTCCGTTTGAGTCCTTGAAAGACGCCGGGTAGATTTGATAGACCACTCCATCTTTCCACCAGACTCTGTCCAAATTGTCGGCCATGGTGATGATTGTTTGACGTGATTCCTCCGGAGAAGACTAGACTCGGACTTGACAAAGCGGCCAGTAATCGCTCTGAAGATAACTGTTGGGTTGTGTCTGCTGTTTGGAAAGCCGACACAAGTGAGTTGTAGAGACATTTATCTCTTACTTGTAAGAGCCGGAGTCCACATTAGGCATCACTCACCATCGACGTCAACGGTCCACCAACCTGAAGCTAAGCTGCCGATCATCGTATTTCAGATACGATAAACCAAGGAAGGCACGACTGGTCAATGCAAGTCTTCGGAACGCCTGCCGATTCGCCGTTGTAGAAAACGAAGCAAAAGTCAGCCATGGTTCATCGTGATTTGTTGATATTCCTGGTAGACAGATGTGGTTGCTCAAAACAGAAACGTCTGAACAACCAACACCTCAATGAACACGGTAAAGTCTTGACTGAAATGCCATCGTCAGGGCGGCCTCTTATAGCCTTGCTGTCATCATAATGCCGGTAGAAGCCGATGACATCCGAAGAAAAAAAAAAGAAGAAAAAAAGAAAACCCGACTTGAATCTACCAACTCGGCATGTTTATACTGTGACATATCGCATCCGACCATCAAGGAATACCGTAGAAACTTGTGAAACTCAGAATGGCACTGCAGGGTTAAAGATGTCCGGCAGTCATACTATTGCCTACTGATGACTGCAAAGCGACCGACATAAATCCCGGCAACTGTTTAAGCCTGCGTCTGAGCCATTCTGAGTTTCACGAGTTTCTACAATAAGTGTCCTCGGAGGTCGAGGCCGGACAACAAGCGTATCAACTTGCTGTTGTCTAGCCGAGCCATTGTTGAGTCCGGCGCTCGACTTGCATGGCGTCTATGCACTGCTTTCTGAGGGTTCCTTTTTTATGTCCGGTTTTGTCGAAGTGCCGTGAAGACTTGGGAAACTTGGACTAGTCCCTCAATCTTTCAGACTGAATGTTGCTTCATTACCTCCAGCTCACACCCACAGTTAGCAAATACGTAGCATAAAACAAATATCGTGATTTCCTGACGAGTAGCCACACTGAGGAGCCCGATGCGGACATGATGTTCCAAGTTCTCAGACCGGTGCTGCATAAAGGGTGCTCACGCACCAGTCTGCAAGGAGCTGGAAGGTTCCCCCGGGCCCAAAAACTGCAAGAGGGATACTGTCTTTTTCGGCGACGGTAATGGCGATGGTGCTGCTGTTAGTTTTTTGTGGTGATGATGGTTGACTGCTACTTCAATCATGATCATCGGATGCGGGAGCCTGGAGGAAGCTTGAATCACTGCACACACCGGAGTTCCTTCCTATCCGCCACCGGTTTATGTGGGAAAGGCCGCATCCTGGATCAGTCATGTGAAGGATCATTATGTGGGATAGAGTTCAATACCTACCTCTGCCTAGTATCGCTCTTTGCAACTCCGTCGAGCAAACCCACCGAGACGGGTCGCCAGAGAGTTGCTCTTTCCCCCATCGTGCCCTTCTTTCAGTCCCCGGTGATCCTTCACTCCTTCCTTTCTCAAATTCTGCGTGCTTCTTTCCCCCAAGCACGCGGTGCCGCAATGCAGGAACATTGCAGTTCCGCCACAAATCCTCAACTCCGAAGAGGACATCTGCTACCACTTGACCACAAATGCAGCTTCCCCTCTCTCGTTGCCGGCATGACCGGACTGTGGAATAAAGCAGTACTGCATGCTTCGACAACTTCCCTCTCGCAGTTGGCCACTTGATTATTTTTCCCACAGCTCCATCATTTCCTTTCTTCAGTTAAAACCCAACCCGCACACCCAGATCTTGAGACTTTCTCTTCTTCCATCACACACTCTCTCCATCCAACTCCCATTATCATCCAAGTTCGCCATCAGTCGTTCTGAACGAAGCATCGATACACTTTATCATCAAACACAACTACCACACTACACTCTCCTGGACCAGAAACACCTTCTTGTGTCTCTGGCATCGCCAACAGTGTCACCACCACGCAAGCTCGATACGTTTCGTCGTGCCATCAATTTTCGTCACCTCAGAACCACACTTGACGCATCCCTACCATGTCCAACAACGACGACCTTGCCCCTCGAGGGCCCCACGCATCCGGCGATGAGGAGAAAGCAACATCAACGCACCGTCCTTCCACCGAAGCACGCGATAATGCCACATCCCACGACACCCAGTTCTTCGGTGCGGGCGAATATGACCAACACCTAGCCCATCTCGCGGAGAAGAAGGAGCGAGAAATGACTTTCAAGGACGCAGTCGTTGGAGATTTTCGCCTGATTATGTACTCGCTGGGTTTCTCCGGGACTATCATCATGGAGGGCTATGGCTTGGCACTTCTCACCTATCTCTTCAGCGTCGGGCCTTTCAATGCCAAATACGGTATCTATGACACCAAGACCAGCAAATATGAGGTATGTTGCACTGCTCGGTCTGATAGTGGCTGGAATCGTGCTGTCCAGGATAAAAGACAATGCTAACACATATATCTCATCAGCTTGAGTACACGTGGAAGGCTGCTTTGCCCTTGTTGGCCCAACTCGGCTCGATCCTCGGCGTCGGCCTCACGGCCCCCGTTGTGAACTTCATTGGGTACAAGCGCACTGTTCTTCTGATGCTCGCCCTCTGCGCGGCATTTGCCTTCGTACCCTTCTTCGCGCCAAACGTCTACATCTTGTCGGCCGGCTTTCTGCTCCAGGGCATCCCGTGGGGCGTATTTCAAGTCGTTAGTCCCGCCTACTCCTCCGAAGTTGCTTCACTGCAGATGCGGCCCATTTTGACCACCTGGAACAACCTCTGCTGGATCATCGGTCAACTCTTGGCCTCTGCCGTCGCCTTTGGATTTCACAAGCTTGGAAGTGCGTGGGCCTACAGGGTGCCCTTCGGCCTTAACTGGGCCTTTATCGTCTTCCTTTTCTGTGCCATTGCCGCTGCCCCCGAGTCCCCCTACTGGTATCTCAAGAAACACAGGGTAGCGGAGGCCCGCCTGGCCGCCAAGAAGCTCGTTCGCAAGGGATCCGAGGAGCGCACCGAGGAGAAGCTCGCTCTGATGCAGCACGCCATCTGCCACGAAATGAAGCACGTTGTCGACAACCAAACCAGATGGCAAAAAATCAGCGCCATGTTCAGAGGCGTTGACAGAAGACGTACCGAGATTGCCTGCGCTACATGGATCATCCAGGCCCTTTGCGGTTCGAGCCTCATCGGTTGGGCTCCCAAGCTATTCGAGTCTGCTGGTATGGAACGCAGCAAGGCATTGGGCATGAACATTGCCTTGCCCTGTGCCGGAATTGTGGGCACAGTCGCTTCTTGGTGGCTGATGCAAAAGATGGGACGTCGACAGATCTTCTTCTGGGGCCTAATCAGCATGGCCGTCGTGCTTACTGGGTGCGGTCTCGCCACGCTGGCTGTAAATTCGGCGGCCGGGTTCGCTTCCGGAGCGGTCCTCGTTTTGTATACTGCCATCTATGACCTGACCATCGGCCCGATTTGCTACTCGATCGTGGCCGAGATTCCTTCGGTTCGCCTACGCACACAGACCATTTCTTTCGCACGCGGCCTTTACCTGGCGGCCAATCTCTTCAACCTCTTTCTTACCCCCAAGATGCTCGGAATGGACTCGGAGAGCTGGCGCTGGGGTGCCAAGACGGGTTTCCTTTACGCAGGCTGCTGTGGTATCGGAACTCTGTACACGTTTATCCGCATCCCAGAGACCAAGGACATCTCTGTCCGTGGACTCAGCATTCTCTTCCATGAAAAAGTGAAGGCGAGGAAGTTCAGCGCCCAGAAGGCTGCGGAGCTGGAGAAATTGCAGGGGGCTGCAGCTTCTAAGACTAGCAGCAGTGATAACACCGTCTCAGTCCTTGATGAGGTTGTAGAGCCTAAGATTGCTTCTCCTGCTAGGGTTGCGTCTCCTAAGAACAACAACTAAGGAGGAAGATGTTATGAACTAGATTAGTCTTGGCGTCGGATCAGGGCCGAGGAATGGAACTTCTGGGTCAAAATATGACGGAGGACGGAGCCAAGGGTTTTGAGAACATGTGGTGTTGTCGTTCCTTCTACACCCCGGCGCTCAAAGGTTAGCACTGGATGACAGCAACGCCGGTGACGCGGGATTCAGGAAAACAGTATTTACCTACTCTATAGGGTTAAGTTGTAGTTTTTCTTTAGTATTATTTGATTAGGAACAAATCCACGTTACACAATGATGCCTTGCCCGGTGATTCCATGGATTCTGTTTGATGTGGTTGATGTTAGGAGAAGCCCCGATCAGTTTGGCCACATGAAAGGTCAAGATAAAAGTAACCCGCTCCTTGGAATGGTGAAAATGAGTCGTTGCTGACGGTGTCATGCAGGAAATTTCAGCAGTAAGAGCACCGAGAAGCAAGATAGCCTTTCACCTATCCCCCCTCCGCTCCCTCTCCCTCTCCCTCTCCCGTTCCCTCTCCTGCTTATAACTGCTCTCCCCATGGCGATACTCCATCCTCTGCTTCTTCTTGCTCTCTTCCCTCCTATAATCCTCCAGCCTAACAGGCCTCGAATCCCTCCCCCTCGAATCCCCTCCGCCCCGTCCACTAATCTTCTGGTTCCAAGCATCCAGCTCCTCTGCCCCTTTCGGGTCCTTGGCTCCCAAACCCGCCAAATTCGCGTGCTTGTGTGCGACTTCCTTCACCTTCCCCCGCATCTTGCCGTCCCAACCGAATTGTTTGAGTAAAGTGGCGCCGAAGTCGTCGATGGGTACGGCGCGGTAGTCTGAGTGGTCGGGGGAGCGGTCGCGGGAGGAGGGTGAGCGTTTGCGCTTGGATGTGGTGGAGGGACCCTTATTATCGAGAGAGAGGAGGGAGGAGAGGGCTTGTTCTTCTAGTGTTTGGGGCTTCTTTTCTTGGTTTGGGGAGGGGGAACGGGATTGGTGTCGTCGGGGTTTGGAGGGGGAAGTGTTGCTGGTGGTGGTGGTGGGTTTGGAGGAGGAGGATTTTGGGTTGATTGTTAGACCCCATTTGGGAGGAGCGGTTTCTGGTTCTTGGAGGTCTTTGGGGTCTTTGGGTTTGCGGTCGCGGGATCTTGAGCGTCGCCGGGAGCGGGAATCATCATCTCTTGATGGCCTGTCGGATCTGTGTCTGGAGTCTCTGTCTTGGGACCTGTCTCTCCTGCGATCGCGGTCCCTGTCTCTGTCCGTATCCCTATCTCTGTTACGGTCTCTGCGATCTGAGCGATCCCGGTTTTTGGAGGAGTAGGAATGACGGTCGTTGTCATCGCCATAGGTTGAGATTTCGGTAATTGCTTGGACGCGACCGCTGCGTTGTCCGCCGGTTTCGTCATCGTCGTCTTCGGATTCGGAGGAGTAATGGTTTGAAGAAGCGCCGGCGCGGTGTCGCCTGGTGTGGGTTGGTCGACTGGGTTTCTTGGTTTTGAAGCTGGAGGAGGAAGATGATGTCCCTAGGGCGATGGTCACCCGGGGTTTGGAGTCTTGGTCGGTCATTGTGATTGTTTTTTAGCCTGTCCTGAAAGATTGATGTCAAGTCAAACCGACTTCTTTGGTCATTGGAGTTGAATCAATGCGATCTGGTTGACGCGCTGGAGGCGATAAGGCGTTCTGGTAGTTGCTTATCGATTAGAGGACGGCTTAGATGGTGCACAGACCATCACTTTGCACGTCCGTGAAATCAGGCAGGCAAGTCTCCTGACACAAGTCTGGTACAAGCGGACGAGGTAGCCCGCGTCAACAACACCGACGAGAACATGTCCTGAACCTGCACCCTCTTTCCACAACAGTATAAAACGGCAACCTGTCTGCTCAACCTTTTTTTCTTCCAATTTCGATATGGACTCTACGGCGGGTTGCGATTCCAGCAACAAGGGTGCCTTCTCTTGATACCCCAGGTTGTTCCTGCTCTCAAGAGACCTCTTTTTTGCCCTTTTTGTCCTCTTTCGCATGCAACGAACCACAGCAACTCGATTTGCATATTCTCTTCGTCATCATGCCGCCCTCATCTGGATGCTACCGACCGGAATCGAACCCCAAGCCAAAGAGAGTAGTTGGTTGTTGCCTATACAACCATCATCCAGCACTTTCCTTCACTCTCACTTCACTTACTCCAAGTACCTCTGCGGTTGCCCCTTTTGCTCATGGGATGGTTTGCTTCCGTCTCTCCCAGGTTCCCTCACAACGAGTGTTGTTTGTTTCTCGATCCCAGATCTGCCCCCTTCCCAAGAAAGCACCGGCAGTGGGGATGCATGTGTCAAGGTCAAGAGGAGGAAGTGACGAGAAGGTCTTACCATTCGATACTACTACAGAACCGAACGATGGGGTTTGTTTGAGGGGAATCAAAGCCTCTGGAGTAATGAGGAGGAAACCCCGCATCCGGGCAACGAACCATTCAACTGCAGTGGCATTTGATATTCAATCCTGCCTTTGCTCTTTCTCTCCATTCTTCATATGCCACCCGGAGTTGGGGAACGGTCCCGTCCGGTAGCAGGTACCTCCTGGGCGTGTTCAAACACTCCCGTCGTTCCTGGGCCACATTTTACAGAACCTCTGTGCGCTGAAAGCTTCGCCCCCAGCGCCGTTTCCCATCCAACACAGGTACAAGAGTACTGCATCTTGAAGCACCTTTTCGCAGCAGGAACGCCCCGGCATATTCACTCGGGTTTTGTTGTTCTTTTTCCTGCTGTTTGCCGCCCGATAGGCCCTTAACATTTTTAAGCTTATCTACCCTGCTTCCCCTCCATCAAAAGAGTTCCCTCCCTACCAGTGCTAAACGTCTTGGCCAATTACCTGGCATCAACCCCCTCCAAAAGCGCGATCAAGCCAAAAAAGAGAATTTATCACCTTCATTCGCGTCGCTAAATCAATCCACGCAGCGATCAAAGTCGCAACGCCATCGTAATCTATCCATCGTCGCCTCGTTTTCCATCTGCTACGGCCCCATAGCACCTAGGTGAACATCCGTTTAATTGATAAACGGATGTCGCGGCCGCCGATGACATGACTGAGGTCGGACCCGCCGACCGCCGGAAGCTGCTGCATTCAAAGCGGGCGGAAGCAAAGTAAGATGTATCCCAATCGATGGAGCGAATCTTTCCGATCATTTTGGTGTACGGGACTTGGTGTTGACTCGACGCAGTTCAATTGTGACGTCGCGCAAACGGAAGCTCAGAGAGTTGTATGCTGTAGCGACCGACGAAGATGGCTTCCCCAATTACGACCTGAACGACCTTGATACGCGTCCTGCCTCCCCTGGCGAGGCAAAGTTCCTCTTCGACTGTGAGATTCTGCAGTACGTTCTACCGTCCCCTTCTCCGGTCTTTGCACCGCGTTCCGTCCGGTACTTAGCTAACCTTGGGCTCCAGAGGCCGACGACTGGCGGAGCGACTACTGCCCGTATTCCAACGGCCTCGCTTCGACACCTTACAACATGTTGCAACCACCGATGATCCGTCCCTAGGACATGGCGCTCATGTCGCCCAACAAGTTCAACCTTCGCCGTTGATCCATCCAAACCATACCATTCCCAAGAATGTACAGCACAACGGCTTGCCTTCGCCAGCACCGCCAACGCCGAGCATCCGTCATGAACCCGAACGGCCCGTATCATACAACCAAGCACCTAATGGGGTTGCCGGACCGCAGGAGGCCTTGAAGGCGTTTGCCCCTCGACAGGAGATTCAGAAGCCGGCGCCGCTTCAAGGGAGTTCAGTTAAGACAGTTGATGGTCCCAGCGGAGAGTCGAAACTGCCGGCGAGGGAGACGCCTGTGCTCCTTGCGCCCGCGGCACCGCATGGAAATGGGCGATGGAACGGCATCATCAACAATGCACCTCAAGGGCACGTATTGCCGGCTCCGCAGTCGGTTGCACCCCCAGCGACAGCTCCTACATCAACTACGAAGACGGCGAATGTGGGTGAAATTAGGCCAGGACCCAAGGACGTCACGGTGTCTATGGGAGGTGCAGAAGATAAGGCTCGGCCTAAACCTACCATCACCTCTGTCAACCAGCTATTGTCGAACGGCGACTCGTTTCGTTACCCCGATACCCTCTCGTCACCCAGTTCAACCGTTCAGTCCGCTCTAACCCCTGCCGGTAATGAAGCGTCTACAAGCACTAGCCCCGATAATGAGGCATCGCAGTCTTTCGAAAAGCCAGTCTCCAGGCCCGAGCAGGAACCCAGGAGGGTTGCCACCGACAACAAGGGCGTGGGCCAGTTTACAGGACCATCTGTTGCCGCTCCAGAATTGCGCCCACAGCCTCAACAACCTGGTGTGTATGGCAATGGGGTCCCAGGGGTTCCCAGCTCGTCAGGCCCTTCCGTCAGGCCAGCACTTAGCGGAGCAGAGGCACAGCTCCTTCAAGAATCAGCTGCAGCGCGGACGAGCCAAGCCATCGGAAAGGCGGGTGTTGCGGTACCCAAAGAGGCGTATTTTACTGGGTTATTGCAGACGCAATACCCGTCAGCTGTGAATGGTGAGGTCCGGAATTTGATGAATGGAGGTATCCCAGGGAAGCACGTTGCTTCGCAAGCAAGCGTAAGCACAGGTGTTACAGCGGCCAAGGCCGCTTTGCCTGAGGTTGCAAAGCAAAGTCCTCTTCCTCAAGGCCCCGAAAATCGTAACAATCGGGCGGATGTTGGTCTTACTCCGATGGACTTGGACAGGGTTCCAGCTACCCAGGCACCGAAACCAATCCCGAGTGTGCACGCAGTACAAGAGAAAACCCCTGTTCAAGAGTCTGCTCGCCAGCCTCAACCCCCTTCAACCGTTCCGTCAACCACGCCACCATCTGCGCAGCCTGCAGTATCTCTTGAGAAAACTGTTCCCGGAATTCAAATCAGCGCACCACCAGAGACCGAGACTGAGACCCAGGCCAGGACGTCCCGATCATCTCACCATGACACGGAATCTGCTGTTGCGGATGAAGAAGGTGATATGCCTCCGGGCTTGCTAACTCATCGGCTCAAGTCTCTCTCCACTAGGCTCCGTGAAAGGCGGAGGAAAAGTGTGCCTACGGTGGTCTTTGGAAAGCAGTACAGGAAACCTCGTTTTAGTGACGATACTGCACTGGTTGTCAACAAACCAAAGCCCCCTGGTCACATTCCTTCTGAAGACTACTTCGTGACGCTTTTTATTGAGAGTTTTGCCCGAACTTCATCTTGGATGAAACCGCTCGAGAAGCTATTGCACTCCGCCCACAAAACTGTGTCCACCTCTGATCAAACGTTGTCAATACTCGATCACCAAGCCTGCAAGATATTGCGCAGAGTCTATCATCTCCAACAGCACGACAAATGGTCTCTTAGACAACCTGTCCGTTGCCTGGAACCGGCAAGGCCTGCATCGCATCAGGACCTATTGATAAAGGAGATGAAATGGATGCGGACAGATTTTCGGGAGGAGCGCAAGTGGAAGCGGGCAGTTGCTCGAAACTTTGCGTATGCCTGTTCGGAATGGTATTATTCCAGTCCTGCTGATCGAAAACTCCTACAGGTGGACGCCAAGATACCTCCCGTCCGGGCGGCCGACAATGCTGATACCAGCATGGCAGATGCCCCGGAAACTGGCGAGTCTTCGGTTCCGGAGCTGGACCACTCGGATTCGCCCGTGGGTAACGATGAAGAAGTCCCGGAGTTGCCAATCACCACTATTGCACCAGCAACTATCTTTGCCTTGCAGGATGACGAGGTGGTCTTTGAGCTACAGCCTTCACGGACGGCGGATCTTCTGCTTGAAAATCTGCCAATGTATGGTTCACCGCTCAAGGTTCCCAAGTTCGACTGGATAATTCCAGACTACGATCCCGATGCCAAGTGGAAGAGGCCAGCCGTGCCTCTCAGCAAGTATGTTGAGGGCGAGATGGTTTTGGACGTAAAGCCACAGCCTCAGAAACGGTCTCGATTTCAGTTCCAGGGTGAAGACGAGGAGGAGGAGGAGGAATATGTCTTTGGCGCTCAGCCAGACAAGGGCGCGAAACTACCGCCCGCGAGTACCGATGTTGCCTTGTTTGCTCCGGAAATGAAGTTGACCAGAGATCGTCTACATGCTGGCCATCAATTTCGCCCACCTTCAGAACACCCAATGCCTGTCCAGAGCTTTTTCGAAAGCCGGATTGCTTCACAATGGACATTGGCAGAGGATGATCAGCTCAGGGCATTGGTACGTGAGTATTCGTACAACTGGTCTCTTATTTCCTCGATGATCTCCAGCAGGTCATCGTTCCCATCAGCTGTGGAGCGGCGTACCCCTTGGGAATGCTTTGAGCGATGGGTGAACCTCGAGGGCCTGCCTAGTGATTTTGCAAAGACGCCCTACTTCAAGGCTTATCAGGCCAGGATCGATGCTGCCGGGCGGACCATTCTACAGCACAATCAGAACGCGGCACAGGGGCAGCAGCAGGTTGGACCTAACGGTGCGGTGACCCCTATTCCACGGAAGAGGCCCACCAACACCATGCGTGTTGAGAGACGTAGGAACCAAAAACATCTGGCACTGTTTGACGCTATGCGAAAGTTGGCGAAGAAACGAGAGGCGGCGGCACAGAAACAGCAGGCTCAGGCCAGCATGACAGCCATGCGCAAGACAAATGAACAGCAGAGACAGCAACCCCAGCAGCAACTTCACCTCCAGGCGAAGACTCCTCAGGAGTACAGTCTCATGAGAGCTGCTCGTGACCAGCAAATTGCAGAGAAGATGGCTCATCTAGCGGCGCGGCAGCACGAGATAATACAGAAACGGGTAAGTAGCGGAGTAGGATCCATCTCTTCTAGTTATATCAGATACTAACAAAACATTACAATAGCTCCTCACGCAAAGACAAGCCCAAATGGCTGCCACACCTGGGGTCGCTCAGGTGCCTCAGACAGCAGCACAACTTGCCGCCGCCAATTCACTCAACAACGCCGCAGCCAGACTGAATATTCCAGCTCAGATGGCCGTAACGGCCCAGAAGCTCGCTCCCGGACGCGTCCCGATGCAGGCTCCAGCCGGGATTCCTACTGTTCCCGCTCAACTCGCCGCCAGTGGCCTTGTACCACCTCTTCCCGTCGCCGCTATCCCTCAAGCTCAGCTCCAGGCCATGCAAGCACAGCACAGGCTGCCAATGGTAAATCCTACGCCAGATATCAACCTTGTGATGCAGGCCCGAAGGATCCAAGATCAGCAGAGAGCTGTTGCGGTGCAATTGCAGCAACAACAACACCAACAACATCAGCATCAGCAACACCCACAGCAGCCACAGCAGCAGCATCAGGTTCAACAACAAGTGGTCTCACAACAACAACTCCAGCCGCAGCAACAGCAACAACAGCAGCAGCCGCAACAGCAACAACAACTACAGCAGCAGCCGCAGCAGCCGCAACATCAACAGGCCCAAACACCTCAACCAGCACAGCAGCAGCCACAACAGCCTCAAGTGGCCCAGCAGCCGCCGCCAGTGCCGCAAGTTCAAATCAACGGTGTTCAAGGCTCGCCAACACCAATGCGGCCGGTGGTGAATAGCCTGAACAATGGCGTCTACATGTCCAGCGTCAGTGCGCAGGCGATGATGGCTTCGTTTAATGCGGCAAATAGCGTTGCTGGGATGGTGACGTCTCCAGGTGCTGGGTTGAGTATGCCGATGCTACCGGCTGGGTCGCCGCGTGGTCCTCAGATTCCCGCTCAGCAATTACCCTATACTCATATCCACACTAGGCTTAAGGAGTTTGAGACCCATTTCAGGAATAAGAATCCCGGGGCCACCCAGGACCAGATCAGGCAAATGGCTACGGAGCATTTGGGTCGATTGATAGTTCAAACCCAACAACATGCCATGAATGCCGCGGCAGGTGGAGTTGGACACGGTCTAGGTGCCGTGGCCACTACGACGAGTCCTCACCAATATGCGCAGCTCCTACGGGCCCAACAACAGGCTCAAGCACAACAGGTTGCACAAGCACAACAGCAAGCTCAGCAAGCTCAGCAAGCCGCTCAAGCCGCGGCAGCAGCTCAAGCTCAGCTTACCCCGGCCCAGGTAGCCCAGGCACAAGCGGCGGCTGCTCAGAAACAAAAACAAGCGGCAGCGGCAGCAGCCCAAGCCCAAGTTCTTGCCCAGGCTCAGATGCAGACTCAAGCTCAAGCGCACCAACCTCAGCAACCTCAAGCCCAGCCTCATGTTCAAGCACAAGCAATGGCAGCGGCTCAGCTTCAAGCTCAGGTTCAGCTCCAGGCACAGGCGGCGGCCCAGAAGCAAGCAGCTCACGCCCATCCTCAGGCTCAGTCGCAGGGACAAGGTCAACATCCTCAGCAAACCCAGCGAGCTCATCAAGTCCAGCAAGTACAAGGGCAGCAGGCACATCAGCTGCCGCAGGGTCCGCAGTCACAGCAGGTCCAGCAGCAGGTCCAGCAATCTCCGCAGGCACGGCAGCAGTCTCAACAGCCTCAGATGGTACGACAGCCGGTGCAGCAAGCCCAGCAAGCCCAGCAACCTCAGCAAGTTCAACAACCTCAACAGTCCCAAAAGACCCAGCAAATGCAACCCCAGCAGCAGGTACAAACGCCTCATCAACAGGCTCAGAAAGCTCAGCAATCCCAGCAGGCGCAGCAAGCGCAACAGCAACAACAGCAGCAGCAGCAGCAGCAGGGGCAAGCTCAAAGCCAAGGCCAAGTTCAAGGCCAGGGTCAGGGTCAAGCTCAGGGGCAAGGCCAAACTCGGGGTCAGGCTGGGGTTCAAATCCAAGGTCAAGTCCAGGGTCAAGCTTCGGGTCAAGTTCAACCTCAGCACACCCAGCAAGCTCATCACGCTCAGCAAGCTCAGACCCAACAAGCTCAACATGCTCGAAATGCCCAGCAAGCCCACCACACCCAACAAGTTCAACAGGCACAACATGCCCAGCAACCTCAAGGGCAGCAGGGACAGAGACACGGACAAGTCCATGGGCACGGGCAACAACTGCACCAGCACCAGCAGCATCAACCACAGCAGGCACAGCAGACACAGCAGCAACAACCTCAACAGCAGCAGCGTCAACAAGTTCATCCTGTACCACAGCTGCCGCAGGCGCAGCAGGCTCAACAAGCACAACCGCTACAGCAAGCTCAACAGCATCAACAGCCTCAACAACCTCAACAGCCTAAACAGCCTCACCAGGCTCACCAGGCTCAAGCTCATCAGGCTCAAGCTAACCAGCCTCAAGCTCACCAGCCTCAAGCTCACCAGCCTCAAGCTCACCAGCCTCAAGCTCACCAGCCTCAAGCTCACCAGCCTCAAGCCCAGCAGCCTCAGCAAGCTCAAGCTCAGCAAGCTCAACAGCCTCAACAGCCTCAACAGCCTCAACAGGTTCAACAGCCGCAACAGGCTCAGCAGGCTCAGCAGACTCAGCAGGCTCAGCAGACTCAGCAGGCTCAGCAGACTCAGCAGGCTCAGCAGGTTCAAGGTCAACAGGCTCGGGCTCAACAGGCCCAGGTTCAGCAGGCTCAAGCTCAGGCTCAGGCTCAGGCTCAGCAGGTTCAGGCCCAACAAGCTCAGGCTCAGCAGGTTCAGGCCCAACAAGCTCAGGCTCAGCAAGCTCAGGCTCAGCAAGCTCAGGCTCAGCAAGCTCAGGCTCAGCAAGCTCAGGCTCAGCAAGCTCAGGCTCAGGCTCAGGCTCAAAGTCAAATGCAATCGCAAGCTCAACCACAACAGCAACCGCGACCTCAGTCTCAACCACAGGCGCAACAGCCGCAACAGGCTAGTCAGCAAGTTCAGCATGGTGTAGTTGGACAGACAAGCCAGCAGAACCAACAAGGTCAGCAGGCCCAGCAATCACATCAAGTTCAACAAGCTCAGCAACCTGTAGCTGCTCCCCAACCCGCTCCCCAGACTAGTCAAAATCCTCAGGCTGCTCAGCAGGCGGGAATGGCGCAACAACAACAAGGACAGGGTAGCGGTAGCGCTACGCCTGCTCCACCAAAATAATAGGATGAGGGCCACCAAAGTGCATGTTTCTTGCCGACAGTAGGAGACAAAAAAGGGGCAATAGCCATAATATGCTTTGACTGCCGATATCATGGGTTACAGCAGACGATGGTCCCGGGGATAAGAGTCAAGCATGGAGGGGGAGGAGATTAGAGGTTTTGTTAAGCGCAAGGCACATGTAGATTTAAGGGCTACTCGAATGTTGTACGTATATGGAAGGTTTGTCGTTAAGCGATTGCACATGGTTAAGGCGTTCTAACGAAGTGACGAACGCGTTAAATATAGATACTAGTACATATACCCTCGGCTTATGTGACTGTGACTCGAGATGCCACGATATGCCTTGAGGCACCTAGACGTAGGTTCTACTTGTAGAGAACGGGCAGGCATGCCAAGACATGTTGTCCAGACAGTACGTATGTGCACTGATAAGATAAGACTTTTCGAGCAGAGCCCCACTTAAAAAAGTTGCGAAGGAAAAACAAGTGGAATCGAATGGCAATCGTTCAGCACTGCACCGGACCCTGAAGACTGTCTCTGCCTGCCTTGATCATCCACTTTTTCAACATCTTTCTGCCTTCCTCATTGCAATCTAACCACCACAACAGTATCCAAAATGGCCAGCAAGAGAAAGAGAGATAATGCGCCCGAGAGCGAACCTGTCGAGAAAACAGAACAGCAGTCAACAAAGAAAGTCAAGGCCCCAGCACCAACCAAGGCTGCGCGTGCCAGCTCTAACTCCAGCACTTCTGCGACTCCATTCAAAGTGGACAGCACCTCCCCGATAACAATCCAAGTCGTCGCCGGCTCCTACGACCGCGTCCTTCACGGTATCACCGCCACCGTTACCCCCACGACCACTACTACGACCGCTACTACCCCCTCCAAGAACAACAAGAAGGCCGCCGCCGCCGAAACCACAACCTCGTACAAAGTCTCCTTCGCCGACACCTTCCTCTTCAACGCCCACTCCTCCGCCATCCGATGCCTCGCCCTCTCCCCTCCCTCGGCGCCCACGCCCGGCCAAAAGGGTGGGCAGAAGGTCCTCCTCGCCACGGGCGCCACCGACGAGCGCATCAACATCTACAACATCTCTGCGCACCCGCCCTCAGCCAAGGCCGCTGACGACCAGAAACTTCTCAACAGCATCACCCCTCGTCCCGTGCTCGAGAACCCCAAGAACCGCGAGCTCGGCACGCTCCTGCACCACTCGTCCAACATCACACGCCTCGTCTTCCCGAACCGCTCCAAGCTGCTTTCGGCCTCCGAAGACTCCACCGTCGCCGTCACCCGCGTCCGCGACTGGGCTTTGCTGCACACCTTCAAGTGTCCCATTCCCAAGGCGCAGGGTAGGCCGTCGGGCGACACGGCTGCGCTCGGAGCGGTCCCCGCGGGCGTTAATGATTTTGCGGTGCACCCGAGTAACAAGATCATGATTAGCGTTAGCAAGGGCGAGAGGAGCATGCGCCTGTGGAACTTGGAGACGGGCAAGAAGAGTCGCGTGCTCAATTTCCCCAAGGACGTGCTGATGGAGATTGGCGAGGGGAAACATAGCACGGGCGAGGCGAGAAGGATTGTGTGGGGCGAGGACGAGTTTGCGGTTACTTTTGATCGGGACGTGCTGGTGTTTGGCATGGATTGTCGCCCGAGGTGCCGGGTTATGAGGGAGGATGTGGTGGGGACGAAGATGACGAAGGTGCATGAGATTAAGTATGTTAGCCTGGGCAAGGAGGAGGGACAAGAGGAGGAGAAGAATGTCCTGGCGGTGGCGACGGAGGATGGAAGGATATTGTTCTTTGATACGGCTGAGTCTGAGTTGCTTGAGCCGCCTGCTCCCAAGGAGGACGCTCCCGAAAAGGAGCAGCAGCACAAGAAGCTCTTCGAGCCCAAGACCCCCAACGCCAAGCTTATCGCTCAGCTCGGCGGCAAGACGGCCGGCGTGTCGGGCAGAATCAAGGACTTTACTGTTCTCCCTGTCGAGGACGAGGAGAGCGGTAAGAGGTCGTGGTTCGTTGCCAGCGCGAGCAGTGATGGCCGCGTAAGGATGTGGCGTCTTGAGAGCGATGATCTTCGTGTTAAGGACGAGAGCGTCAAGCCCGGCAGACAGGTCGGCGAGCTGTTGGGCACGTACGAGACGGAGAACAGAATCACTTGCTTGGGCGCGTTTGTCATGATACCCCGGCCGGAGGGATCGGTGGAGAGCGAGTATGAGTTTGATAGTGAGGAGAGCGAGGATGATGATGAGTCGGATGATGAGTAAGGGGTGGAGAGAAATTGGGTTGTTTGTGTTGGTTTAGCATAATTGATGTATAAAGAAAGGATTTGTTTTGATCATGCTGGTTGTTGTTGATGTCCTCTCACGGGGCTGGGATAATGCATTGAAGATGTGTGATTGATGCTATGTTGGTAATTGAGATGTTCATTGTGTTGTTCTACGGACTTCAATCTTAAAGATGAAGAGATAGTCCGATCCTTCGTGTGAAACAAGAAGCATACAAAATTTTGGGCGGAAGAAAAATCCGCCGCTTACTCAGTTTGTTTATTCCAACTTCATCCCCCTGGCTCAAGCCCTTCTTGGTCCTCCCAAAATTCACTTTTTTTTTTGCCGACTTGGACTTCATCCATCATATGAAGGAAGCTCCTTCATCATATTCATAATTCTACTCTACTCTCTTGGGGCCTGAAAATGTGTTGTTCAGTTTCTCTGTTTGATGATGTATCTCAATCACAAGACAGCCACCAACTTTCACCATTCCTACATAAGATCAAGATCCAGGTAAACCAATCATCAAAAGGCAAGATGGCCGAGCGGTCTAAGGCGCCACGTTAAGGTTAACCCTTAATCCGAGTTAAATCTCAGTTCCGTGGTCCGAAAGGGCGTGGGTTCGAATCCCACTCTTGTCAAAACATCATATCCTCCACCAAGCTCGGGTGGAAATTGTTCTTTTTGACGCTTTCTTTTTCCTTGGTTTTTTTTTCCCTTCCCTCTTTTTGGCTTCGGCTTGAAGGTTGAGGTCCTCTTTTGATCATTTGTTTGTCAAAAAAAAAATTTCTTTCCTCGTTGTGCTGGCTTCGGAGGTCGTCGTGACAGACACATGGCACAGATCAGATTTTCTAAGCCATATTGAGACCTCCAAATGCTCAGTAGCATTGTTTGACTCCCTTGGTAAAAATGGTGCAATAATATGCCCCTAGTCGGACTGCTAAGTACAAGTTGATAAACCGACCACTATTGATGTGTGTTGAATCATTCCCGCTGCGTCGATATCGAAGACTCGAACTCAAAGACGTTCTCCATTGTGAACCCTGACGTGATGCGATAAAGATGCCGAAATCATCACTTTCCCGACGGAGGAATCACCTAACACCACCCCATCTCCCCCTGGAAGCAGCCGACTTATTTAGCGCCAACCTCCTCCCAATATTCCCAAAGCACACACAGCTGCAAAACAACACACTGAGCATCCAAATGCCCGTCTCAATAACGGCCGCGTTTCCGCTGCTCGTCCCTCCCAGACCGCCCATCCTCGCCGCTACGCCCCTAGGCAACCCGGATGTAGTCCCATTAAGCACCCCCATCGCAGGTTGCCCATTCGTCAAGATATGATCGTGGTACGCACCCATTCCCCCGGCCACCGGCGCAGGCATCATATCGGGGTTACCCAACCCCATCAGAATGGCGGACCCGGTAACGCCCACGGCGGCACTGAGGAGGAAGCCCGGTTTGGACCGGTCGATCAGGTACCACAGAAACGGGTTCGCGAGCGCGAGGGTCATAGAGACCTGCATCGTCGAGGCCCAAGGCAGACGGCGGATGGCAAAGACGATGCCGACGAAGGCGCCGATGCTGCGGACGACGAGAGGCCAGTCGGCTTCGGGTGGGGAGGTGACGCCTCCCCCCGTGCTGGACTCTGTTTCAGTAGGGATGGTGGTGATTGATGCCTTTCTTGGGGAAGACCTTAATGACGATGAAGGAGGTTGTTGCAACAAAGCAGCAGCGGCCTCCGCAGCTGCCGCAGCTCGTCGCCTTTCCTTCTCTTTCTTGGTTATCCTCCTCTTCCCAAACGTTTCCTCCCACACCTGATCGAACCAGGGAAGTAACCTGCCCAACACCACGCCGGCCGCTCCCCAGAAGGTGAGGTACCGCCAGCCGTAGCCGCCCGTGACGCTGTCTCCGTTAGGCAAGCGAGTGACGAGCACGCCGTAGCCCATGCCCAGGGCGAAGAGGAGGATCGTCCGGAGCAAAGACCAGAGCAGGCTCATTACTGGGTTGTTGTTCCCGCTGTTGATGTCTGATGATGATGATTCGCCTCTGAAGGTGGGGATGGTGGATGTTATGGAGGAAACTCGTCGTTGTCTTTTGGGTCTGAGGGTGATGGTCTCTTGGTAGGTCTCGTCATCCTCGTCGTCGTCATCCCTGGCGTCTCCGGCAATGCCTAGTACGTTGGCTGCATCATCGGTTTCGTCCTCGGTTTCCTCTTTCAGTTGCTCGCCGAAGTAGAATCCATTGCGTAGGTTCGAAGCTGAGCGACCTACTCCGGGGGTGGTGACGGCCGTTCCGGGCTCATCGGAGAAGATGCCGAAGAGAGTAGAAGAAGTCAGGTTCCGGAATGAGGTGGCTCTGCTGATGTTGGAGGAGTCAAGACCGCTAGTGACGGCCCCGCTGCCGGCGGGAGAGGCGCTGGTGTTGAAGGGTGATCGAGGGTCCAGGAGGAAGCGGAGGTCGGCGGCTGTGATGCGTGGTTGGGGAGATGTGTTGGAGTCTCTGCCGGGAGCTGGGGAAGGAGACTCGTCCTTACGAGAGATCATTGGTGGTGATGCTAGGTTGAAGGGTCGTCGAGGGATTGGGCGGAAGATTTTGGGTCCATCTTGGGTCCCGCCGTTGGAGTTTTGGTCCATCTTTGTAAGATCCGCCCCTGGTGGCTTGCTTGCCGTGCCGTCTCGTGCCACGTTCGTGCTGGGCTGATGAAAGACAAAGGCGTTTTAAACCTTATTGAAGCTTATTGAAACTCAAAAAGGGTTTGAAACTGGAGCATATGAAAGCTCGTGGGTATTAGGGATGCTGTATAGATATACCCAGCTTGCTGTTTCTCCTCCCACTGGGTGCGAGACGCAGAGGTCGGCCGACTGGCCTCTATATTGTTTCAGAACGGAGAGGGCCGTAAGCAAGATGAATCAAGGGCGAGCGCGTTGATGTCCAAAAAGGGTGCCCAACTCGTTGAATCCAAAGCGCCTCGAAGAATCGGGAAACGGCTGAGCTGATGGTTGTGGTGGTACAGAGAATCTATAGGTCAGTCTTCGGATGCAAATTGATGGATCTTCAGACCGGAAAGGTGAGTGAGTGAGGAGAAGCTTGAACAACACCCCGCTCCAATGCTTATAGCTTTTTGGATGTGAAGAATGAACAACTCGAAAGCTGACGTGAGTGCGGGAGAAAAGAAAAAAAAAACCCTTCTTGTTTATAAGGAAATTAAGGATTAAAAGGAGTTAGATCCGTTTAGATCGAGTTAAGCACGGGGAAGGGAGACGAGAGAGGAAATAAGAGGGGAACATGGGTCAGGGATATAGCATGTATTCCGTCCGTATTCCAAGGGGACCAAGGTTGTCAAGGGATGGTCTGACTTTGCGTTCCCCGTCTGATTCATCTGGGTACCCAACCACGTAACATCCCCGGATTTTGTGGCAGTCTGGAAGTCGTGATATAAGTCAATGATCACCACCAACAATACCCGTTGTTTTTGCCAATGTAGTGTATGGGGCAAAACTAGGTACGAGATGCATCCGAGATGCACCAGATGCACCAGACGCACCCCGTGATGGCCATCATTGGTGCACTGGGGTACGCTGCAGTTACAGTGCAGATACATCCACGCGGATTCACAGCCGAAGAAGCGGAGACAGGCAGCACCATCCAGTGAGCTTCGAGATAATTCAGAAGGGAAGTGCGCTCGTGCCTCTCTTCAGCTTTCCACACTTTCCACTTTGCACTTGCACTTTCCCAATCCCCATCATCGTCGGTCACCGCACCCGAATCCAATGATGCAAATGACTGTCAATTGCCCTGGAAATAGCATTGTCGCTACTGCAAGTTGCAAACGCCAAGTATACCTAGGCCACTTGCCAAGTGGGAACTGCCGCTGTTGCCCTAGGTCACTCCTGATCCAAATTCCTGCCCGTGGCTTCCATAAAATTGTCCGAGACACTTGCCGTTCCAGGGACCATAAACGAGAGACAAGTCGACCAACCTCGAACCTTCTTCCCAGAGAAAAACAAACGTTGCAAGGGAGTTCTGGACTCAAAGATCCGCGCATCTGAATGGTTGAGGCTTCTTTAGGAGCGGGGTTCATCTCCCGTAGTTGCCTGCCCTGGACGCGGGACGATCAGTTCGACTTGCCGTTGATTGACGCTCAGTTCGCCTCTTTTTAACGGCATGTGACGCCGTACCAAAATACCAGAGCAACGAATATTATCCATTTTTCATTGCGCAATATGTGTGCACAAATGAAGTAGAAAAACTGATCACCAAGGATGAAAGAACCAAATAAATGTATTTAACATTCTAGTCTGTTTACATCTTCAATCCGAGCCCAATATCCCGTCTTCCCTCTGACCTCACCTCACTGTGACCTGACAGTCTCATTGGGAATATTCTGTACAGCCCCACACCCCGTTGATCCCGTCAAGATCAATCAATCACTCCACCCACCACGCAACCGCGCATCTGCAACCTCTTTCTCCAGTTCAACCACTCAAACCACTCAGCCCTGATTTTTACCGCTGACCGTCTCGATCACATGTCAGCAAAACAGTCAATCGTACGCAATCCCGCTTCCACCTCCCAGATTTCTTGACAGGTAGGTAGTGCGTACACGTAGAACAAACAGGGCAACCAAACAAAGCAACAAGCGTCACAAAAGCGAAGTCGACAGACAATAAAATAAACAGGGTTCCTAAGACAACGAGGTAAATGAACCAAACGAGGATTCCAAAACAGACGATTTCCTCTGCCCGGTCTCATGACTTTGACTTTTACCCCACGCTTTTGAGCAACTGAACCGTAGGGACCCATAAACGAACATGCTCAGCCCTCTTTCTTCCCCCTGCTGGAAACTCGAGAACTACTAACCTCAATCTGTCAAGCGTGTGCGTTTTTACACACCAGGTTGGTTTTAGCTGCTGCATAGGTTTGTTATTGGATACCGTTTGGTACCTCTACCTAGCATTGATGTCAAAAACAGGTTTTCGATGGTGTCCCTCTCTCTGGTGGTAGAGGATCCGACTTGCTGAAAATTGAATACATATCGTCAGACATCGTCACAAAGTCCACAACAAAGTCGGATTGGACCCCTGACTAGCATGGACTACATAGTCAGATCTGCGAGAGTCGCTTTTAGGGCGGACTTGAGACAACACATTCGGCTGTCAATGGTGCATGATGTACATAGCTGTCCTGTAGGTTCGACGTGAGTTTTCTTTCGACATGGAAATAACGCCGCCATGACCCAGGGTAGGTTGAGCTCTATCAACCAGGACCGGTTATACATCAGTTGAACACTGTGAACTCAAGGCGTAGTTGGGGAGTTGGTATCGGTGTTGGTGATCCGTAACTAAGGGAGTGAGTTCGATGGGAGTGATCATGGTCGAAAATCAGCATAGCTGTCTGTGACTTCCAAGTGGTACACAGCACGCTGACCTGTATAGTCCTCATATTAAGAGTGAAACTCAATTTGGTTGTGGACGGTGCGTGACTGACTGAACAATGGAGGGGGAGAGATTAGAGAGGAGTTTTTCTGGTCTTTTCAAGTCTGACCTGGTTTCGTTGGGTTGTAGACAGGTTGAAGTCCTACTGTGAACTGCTTACCGTGGCTTGTCAGAGACATAATAACAAGACGTCACATGTATCATTCATAACGACCAGACTAGTTAAAACGTGGTATTTGTTTGTAAACCCATGTACAAGAATAGAAATTTTGTTAATGAGTTGCGAAGCCAAAAACACAGATTCAAGAGAACCCTTCATCTCGTCACAGTTATCGCTACTTCGCTGCCCATAGTCTCTCCACGGCCGACATAATGATGGGTAAATAAAGATCAAAGCATCACCATTCCCCGTCGTCAACGGACCGCAGCAGAGACCCCCGAAAAAACCACGGCGAGAACAACGAAGACGAAGATGACGGAACGTACAAAACGGAATAGAAAACCATGAAAAACTCGCGTCGAACCCAATGTCTACAAAAGGCAGTTCCCAAAAGACGGCCCAAATCCACCTCCGCCCGATGAGCAGCACCGCATGGACAGAACAAGACTGACAGACAAAGCCTTCGAGAAAAGAAACGGCCAAATTTCATCCATCATGGAGACAGCGTAAACGACACACACAGAGAGCGAGTATTAAAAGTTGAAGTAGTAGTAAATTGATGTTCGGAATTAGAAAAAGAAGAATAAATCGCAGAGAAGTTGATCATCGGAGAACCAGAATCATTGCCCAACCTGATTTCCGTGAAACGCCCCTGAAAAGAAGACAAATCAACCCTTTGTCGCCAGCTGTGTAGCCATGCGTGTGTGTGTTCTGTTAAAGAAAAAGCAGAGGAAAGCCGGTACGCAAAAGAACTTTCAGCCATCCTTTTTCCGTCATACCTTCATTCACATCCTTTGCCATTTTCCCACAATCCGAAACTTTCTCATCATAAAATCCTCATTCATGATCTGAACCTCAAACGTGATTCCATCTTCCATGCTGCTGGTGTTTTGTGTCCGCCTCTTGGGAAGGAAACTGAGTCTATGGTATGGGGAAGGTAATGGTAATTTCTTTTTCTCTGATGTATGTAGGAGAAAAAGAAGAGGTATCACTGAGATATGGAGGAAAAAAAAGTTAAAGTAATAAAGCAGAACTTTTGGAATGAATCCCCGACCCGCGCAAATGCATAATTTGGAGAAACCCGCCCGGTCTATGCTCACAGAGACAATTCCGGATGCTCATGATGCGACACACCGTTGAAATTGTTTTGGGTAAGAGAGAAAAAAGAAAACCGTCTGCCTTATTCGTCCTTCTTCTCGTCATTATTCGTTGTATCGGGCGTCACCTTGGACAATGCCGGAGAGGCAGAGGCCGAAGGGGGGGAGCCGGGGTGGTCTCCAGCATCAGCAAGGAGGCTGTGGATTGCGTTAGTTTGTAGGTTCAACATGTAGAGGGACACAGATATCATACCTGAAAGCATTTGCGTGGGAAACCGAATCGTTGCCGCGCATGGAAGCGGTGCGGGACGAGCCGCCAGAGTCATCACCACCGCGGCCAAAAGCACCGCCAGGGCCACCGACCTGACGACGACCACTGTTGCTCCTAGAGTTGAACATGGACGTAGGGGGGCCGAAAGACATGCCCTGGCTACCGGAGCGGCTAGTGTTGCCCTTCAAACGCCTGAGATCACCAAGCTCGACCTGGTTGTTGGTCATGCTCTGGTTGTAAGGGAGGCCCCTGGCATCTCCGCGACCGGAAGCAGCACGGCCTCCAAGGCCACGCTGGCCGGTGCGAGCATTCTCAACCGCCTTTGCGGCGGCAGCAGCCTCAGCCTGTGAATATTAGTTAGTCTCATCATACCATATTAGCAAGTGAATTTGTTGTATCTTACCTCAGCGCGGACCTCCTCCAACGTCTTAGGACCCTTGTTGGCCTCCTTGGAGACCCAGCGGGCCCTGCGAAGGTCGACAATGTCCATAAGCATGAACCTCAGACGGCTTGGGAGGTCGGGAAGGTCCATAATCTGCTGGATGCGGCCGAAGTAGACCTCCATCAAGGGCCTGCCCTTCTCGGTGCTGTCGAGGTTGCCACCGACCGTCCTCAAGAGCTTGGTGAGAGACTCAATCTCGGCCTCATCGGGAATACCCGTAAACTCAAGCAGCTTGCGGACACACTCGTGCATGATACGTTCCGTAAGCATGCCAAGCTTGAAAAGTTCACCAATGAACTGGACAAGACCAAGACCACGACGCTTGGCGGCGGCGGCGATATAGTACTCATCGGACATGAGAACGGCCTCGGAGGCCTTCTTGTCGCCCTCCTCACCCTCCTTGGGCTTCGGAAGGTCCACCTTCCAACCACGCTCGAACTCCTCCTGACACCTGTTAAGGAGGTACTTGCGGAAGAGGGCGCCGCCACTGACGACGTTACCCTGCTTGTCCATAATGTTCTCGTCGCGGATC